TCATGAGGATGGGTATTTCATTTGAATTCGCTAAACCAACTGCAAGTGAATCATTTCATTCTTAATAAATTGTTCCCAGAAGAATAAAGTCTCTTGTAAAACAAGTTGAAATGAGTTGTTGTTCGGCAGGTTAGAATAAAAGATAAATTTTGACTATGCAATGAGTTAATAACATTTGCTGAATGTTAGAAATTTCTATTTCTTTTTCAGGGAGATTTTAAAAATATGTTTTTCTCCTAATTTGTCCCACTTATTGATCAGAGTATTTGATTTCATGAGCTGAGATCTCGACCGCGGTATCTACAAAATCAGTAATATACTATCGCATTTATCACGGAGATTAAAGGGACCGAAATAAATCTTCCTATGATATTGTGAATAAATAAGTTACGGTTGAGAAAAAGTTCATAGTAGAAAGAAACTAGGTTTTTCAGAAGTGTTAGAGAATATGAATGATTTAAATCACTAATTTAGGAAAATCGCTTTCAGTTTACATACTGTAGAACTGTTATACAGTTTCACTGCAGCCTAAAGTTCTATCTGTATATGGTTTTTCATCATTTAGTTTTGAGTGATTCAGTCTTGGTTTTCAACTGCTTTATTTGGCAGTTAATGATTCTCACCATCAGTTGCAATCGTACTTATTTACTCATACTTATAAGTTATCGGTAATCGAATATCAAAATCTATCGCAGAGTTGTAGCCGTTGAAATGGTGGAATTCTCACCAGTCTGATGGACATTAGAAAATTAAACACGTTTAATACTGAAATATACCACTCCTACTTTTGTGGAATTATTCTAATTCTTTTAAAAGTTAGCAGAAATTCTTCAACAATAATCTAGATACAAGAATTTCTCGATAATGCTTCATTTATGTGCATACACATTTAAAGTAGATATAAACATTCTTCCGATTTGTAGGTAGAAATCACTGTTAGCATAGTGCAGTCTACTTATTAAACTGATAGACAAAATTTAGTTAGGATAGAAGTGATTTAAAACAGCTATAAATAAACTGCAATACAGAAAGGTAACTTTTAGTTTCCCTAGGATGAATCAGTTCCTTTCATTCATGTGACTTAAAAAATTAGACTCTCTCTTATGAAACGATGGAGAATGTCTGTACATCATATGGATGAAATCTCCATCACAGAAAACCAGTGAATCATTCACGAAAAGATTCCGACGACCCACTTCTTTTGAAGTTAGTACTGATGAGGACTTCCAAAAGGACACGATTAAGCCACCCAACTAAGAGAACGTTGCACAGTTGGGAGTCTCTTTGAATCTTGAGAGTAATACTGCTAGCCAGGAATACAACTTCAATGGTTTTTTCATACTTCTGTTTAGATTTGGGGTTGTATTAGTGTGTCTAGATGATGTCAGATAACAGTTTAATAATGCAATGGGTTATGAGGTGCTCATATTACTACACTATGATAATCTTTTAGGTTTTCAATTGACCTACTTCAGGACCACAATTTTCACGCAAACTCACTAAAATGCAAAGATTTTATATGATATGATTTGTACATCAGAGTTAGGTAGTCATCCATTATTTGTGAAATTAGATGCCAAAATCAAGTTTAAAAACACAATGTTAAAACACTTCACTCAGTTTTTTCAGTAAATTATAAATTTTCAGTTTTTCGCAAGCTTAGTTTGCATCTTTAATCAGAAGGGGTGGCAAACAGGCCTACAGTCTTCATAAACTATACAGTCATTCAACCCCCTTGTATTCACTGTCAATTCTGATAGCACATAAATCGGTACTTGGAAGTTATTTAGGTCGCCTACAGGTACGCAAACCAGCCTTACGCTGAAGTTATGTGGTGAGCTGAAGCACTAAATTATTACCGAATATTTTACGACTCGATACTCATGGGCATAATCTTGGTAAAATAAATTCTTTGTTATTTACCATATGATGTAATCCAACAAACAAGTAGAGTTTCTTAATTAATCATGAAGCGATAGTACGTACTGAATAATAACTCATTACTCACTGAACTGAAGTTGTGTGAGAAATTACAATCTGAACACCCAGGTGAACGAAGATATTTATAACACTTTAGTGAAATTGCCTAATATGAGCACATAACTGATGGTTATCTATAGAAATTTAATGTGACATTCTTTTGCCTTGCGCAAAAGCCTAATTTGCACGGGAACCTATGATTTTATAAAGTGCACGTCGGAACTAAGTGAATAAATATTTGGGTATTAGTCTTGAAATAGAATTGTTTTAGTCGTATTTGAATATAAACAGACACTAATATGCCTTAAATACTGTTTTGTTGAGCGTAAAAATCCGGTACATTGTTGGACTGATATATATGTGTATATATTAGGTGGTTATTATGGAAACCACTGGTTTTAAGACATGTAATTACCGATACATGTTTGTGTTATTATCACCAAAATAATCGGCCTCCAGGTCCTGCGGTTTCTGTAGTAATAAAATTTGAGATCGGTGAGACAATTTTAACTTTTTATTGTTTATGGCTATTATTTTAGTTTCAGGGGCTAGCAGAGATAAGAATAAAGGGTAAACTTATTGGACAGTAAATGACCAGGTTGAAAAAATACGCTTGTAGCAGTTATTTCAGAAAAAGCAGACGGAAAGAAATGAGTGATTATTCAACTACCAGCATAAGTTACTACAGTTATACTTTAGTAATTATTGTCAGTCATTCAGTATGGTAGGCAGTTTTACTACATACACCTATAATTGTGAACAATAGATTTCACTGTCAGAAAAGGCGATGGCACAACGAATCAAGTAATCAGTGAGATGCTACAATACTGCTAGAAATCCAGATTTTGCTGAATGACTGAAAACACTCAGAAGGAAGCCTTTAATATAGTTATTTTGTATTCTGCATAACTTAATATTCATTATTGCACGTGAGTTGTTGGGTGAAGAAAACGTGAACAATATAGCGGAAATAAGTCTCTACACGCTAACGCGTACATCAGAAGTACTTCTTTAAGATCGCTACAATCAAGAATAATGACTGATTTTATGCTTCAGGGTTAACTACCTCCATGACACTAGGAGGCCAGTACACGTTTACATTTCAGTCATTTTGAAAGTGTACACTATATTCAACACAGAATTAGTACTTCATTGCATAGAAGACTTTTGTAACTGGCACTGAAATAAAGGAAATTTATTCCGGTTATTTCTCCGGGGTATCAACTATTCTGTCCCATTTGTTTTTTTCTCGGCGAAAACTGGATCTGCCTTCACTGTGATATTAAGCTAGTAATATGAATATAAAAAGCTGATCAGATTTTCGTTTTTCGAACTTGTAGTATTTTTTACTTTATACGTGGAAAATGAACAGATGAAACTTCTATTTGTTTGAAAAGCAGGTGAAGAAAACTGTGTGAGAACCAAAGATACGGACTTTCATTCGATAAACAAGAAACTTTCATAAAGAAAAATCACATTTGTAGTTTTAAGAAGGTTTTGGGGGAATTTTCAGGTTGGACAAACTTTACACTGATTGTCACAGTCGAAAAATATGACACTGACTGTTTCACAATTCTGGAAATTTGTTTCGTATCGTAACATTAACTAATAAATGGTCAGTTCAACATATTTTGTACTTCTGATTGGAACACCAAAGTTTGGTGACTGGAAAATTAAGTCGCAATTATGGAACAGATTCATTTATAGTTTTGAATTCAAAATCTTACTATATTGTTACTGAATAACTTTATGCGCAGAAACAGTCTGTATATCATTTAACACTATTCATATAATTAAGCTCATTACTGAATGTTTATGCAGGTCAGTCAGAGCTGCATGTATGTTTCAGAGAAGGGTCATACAACCAGACTGTACTGAAAATTCCAGGTCTAGTGTTAGCAAATCACATTTTTGTTGCCGATTAAATCAATGAAAGTATTATTTTTTTGACTTGGTATCTACATGCAAATGGAGTAATAGTTTACTGTTGACATGTTTCTAGCATAAAAGGATGCCAAATATAATGCCCTACATCACAATATCACAGAGCCTAGTAATCATGTTCTAAACTTCATCGAAAAACTTCAGTCAGCACCTAGAAAGTGACACCCCCATAGGATAACTTTAGACGACCAACTGATGTTCATAAAACTAGGTTTGGGCTTAAGACTTACCAGGTGGCAAGAATAGGTTCATTGAAATATTGCCCAACATGTATAGGCTGATTTCATTTGTGGAATTGTTAGTGGCTGATATTAAAGTGTAAACTAAACAGTTTATTTGCTAAAAAGGACTAAGGTGAATTTCGAAAATTGAAGAAAAGAAATGCATTTGCCTCTCCTGGAAGATGCACATTTCATGCACTAATAAAACCATATTTCTGTTGCGTTTATTTAGCACTTACTCTAAAGAAAAGAGTTGTATTATAAGCCATTTAAAAAGAGCTAGTTATTTTGGAGTGTATGCTGCACTGTTTTTTACGAGGACTGAATTTTCTGATCATATTTATTGAAGATCGAGTTTTGCACTAATTTGCTGAAGCAGTCAGTCATTAAAAAAATTTCGTCTGTTAAACAAAAGTACGAGTTTATAAATTCCCGATATAAAATCGTGTTACAGACTTAAAGAAGCTTTATTCATGAGCGAGTAGTTACGTAAGAAAACGAAATGCAATCCACTTTTTTCCGAAGTTTGTGCTGATGATACTGTCTAGAATAAAAATAAAAGCTTCATGATTGAGTCATCCAGCTGACCAAAAACAACACTGTCAAAACGCATTTGATTTCAGAAGTTGTACAAGTAATCTGAGGTTTATAACTATTGTCACTCATTGTTTAGGTGAATTCATTTTATACATGAAACTTAGTTGCTATTTATTTTTCAAAACCACCTTTTTCAGAGAATAAAATATGAATGTGATTGACTAAGTAACTAGATCTTAGCCGTTTTCTTTACCAAGAGTTGGCCGTTTAAGAATAAAGGAGACTAGCTTTTACTGCTTGCTTATATTTTTGACTAGTCTCACCTCAGTGTATCTAGTTTGTTCCATTCAAAACTATGCACTGCACTGTCTAATCGACTAATTTATTAGTTTTGTAGGTTTTAAACCGGTGTAGACATAGCCGAACCTTGTTTACTGCAAATAAAATGTAATTCAAATAACCAAGAAGCATAAACTTTCTATAGGACGAAACAGCTGTCCGGTGCTCCCAGATTTTCTACGGTTCCCCAACTGATGTCAGTCCATGATGAATACAACTTCTAAATCAAAAATCCCCATTCATCTCAAAAATAAACGTTTCTATTCAGTGATTAATAAAGCCCTTTTGTATTTCTATGCGCTTTAACGTGCATTTCAAATTTTAGGCATAAAATTCATGTGGCCGGTGTATTCAATGATGGCCGGGTAGCTGAGCTTAAAGAGCTGTTTGTCATTGCTTTGCCCACTGTAAGTCTTGCACCATTTTCTAAAGTCAGACTACTTTGTAGTACAGAATGCCCCTTATTTGTTCCGTAAAGCTTACTGTGATTTGTCTTTAAACTTTACTATTTAACTAATATGAATCTATATTATATAACTTTGGCATTGTAAGGTTTATCTAATCAAACTAACACTAAACTAATGATTCGACAAACTATTCAAGAAACTGGTACGTACCATATCCCATATAATTTACTGAACCAATGACGTGCAGTTTATAATACTTATCACTAGTGGCTGCTGAAGTATGGAATGTGGTATTCATTTCAGCCAACAACGAAGAACCATGTATACAAAGAGATGACAGGGCGACGTGGTTCTCTCTTGGAGTACTTCAGTTGATCACTTCATGGTCTCCCTTGAAAATGGTGTCCTTAATTCGTTAATAAGGCAAATATGTTTTTACGAGAAGTGTATTTATGACATATTTCCTCATGAAACGAAGAATTTGATGTGAACAATCTCCTTAACGCGTTTAAGGCTGTATATTCATGTATGAAACTTTCTCAGGAGTGTACTACAAACTGGATGTCCCTATTTCTGGATATGTTACTGACATGACGATTGGATGATTCTATCTAGACATCAGTATACAGAAAACCAACTTTGGGTAAGTGCCACGCTAGCTGGATCAAGGAAATCAGCAGAAAGCCTTGGTTGACCTGGGATTCACGCTTGCTGGGATTTATCAATACTGGCGTATCTGTAACCTCGATAGAGCTGATGTCCCCTCTGAAATTCAAACCCATATTGAACAATCGATGCAGTTAATAAAACCCTACAGGAGTTTTATCACCACCAGAATAGCTCAGTGGAGACGTTAGGGACTGCAACACTGGGTGACGCAGGTTCGAACCTCAGAGGGGACATTAATTCCACAGAGGTTGTAGATACACTTTGTTTATGAGTACAAGCATGTACAAAACATGGGTCATTCAAAGTTTTCTGCAGATAGCCTCCAACTGACTAGGATTATTCAAAAGCTCACCAAGATGGCCACGTTGCAAAATGATCGATAAAATTCAGTCGGTACTTATAGTAACTAGACAACATGAAATTGGTTGCTCTTTATTGAGCAACTATTAATTTTCTTCAGTTGTAAGAAACATTTTATCCTATTCTTAAACTTTATAGTTGTAATGTGGCCCAGGTGATCACCAACTGACTACTATTTGATTCCACTGAAATTTAATGAGACTGAACAATTCTAGTCAGCGGAGTTTTTGAAAACAAGATTTTCTTTGCTGTTACGTCTCTGTTTTATTATTTAAGTTTAGTCTCCGATTACACCTTGTTACCAAGAATGTTTTCATACTCTGCAGTAAGATGCTTTTTTCAGGCTGGAATTCTTTAACAAACTATTTCAGCAGTTCACATAGTACATCAGTAAATAGATGATATATTTACTAATGATCTCAAAATATAGTGAAGAAAAGTAAAAATAGACTACAGAAAAAGCAGGCCTCAAGAATTGTGTATTTCAGTTTAAAGTTTTAAAAATACCAAACAGACTTTTTGATAAAGCTCTTGGCTTACTAAGTCGCACACAATGGAACCATAAGATTAAACAGCGATTACTTCTGAAACGGGTGATAGTGTAAATTAATGTAGTGGTATAATCACATCCATGTTAACCAGAAATTTTCTTATACCTCTCAGTTGTCTAAGTTTTGATAGTCTTTAGATGATAATCAATGCATCTTCTGGAACCGTGATTAGCATAATCTAAAAGCTTTTTCACGGTTTCCTTCAGATGGGGTGAAAAATGTTTGTGCTAGACAGTATGTTCCTAAGTTTGACCAGTGTACTTATCTCCATCAGAGCATATCAACTAGTAGGTGCTATTAGAATTGATTAAAGAAATCAGTTGTTTACATAAAAGTTTGAACACTTTTAAGTGAACTACACTTATCATAAGTTAAGTGTGCAGAGTAAATCAGTCATTCTTAACGACTCATATAAATAGTTTTGAAAAGAATCAAAGTTAAACTTACCTATTGATCATAGCAGCCAAAAATTTAGACACCAAATTTTAAGCCTGGATTCAGTTAAACAGCTGTTATGAGACAGAATCATAAATATTGCTGTGCAAAGATAAATTATTTTTGTTGTCGCAGTTACTTCTAAATGGTTGTAGAGTAAATTTAAACGTACCGAAATTACTTTCTCTACCTATTTGGCATAGAAACATACATGAATATAAAAGATGGTGTTTCAAATGACCATTGACTGGGAAAATTTCATGTGGTTGTGTCACCATAATTCGCTTATTTAAGAATGCAGACCTAGAAAATTGAACTCCTTTTAGATGGCTTAATTGAACTAAAGTTCCATTTCATGAAGAGCATATCAATACTTCATCTACTGTAGTCTTCGGTATCAAAATTAAATTTGCTTAAGTTAAATAATCTGAACACTGGTTAGATGGATTATGAAAGAAATATAGATACTGGATGATGATTGAAATATAGCTGCGAAACTTCAGGGAAAGAGAAAAGTAAATTCTAAGCATCTCATGTCATCAACCATATAAACAGTTCATAAATTGAACAGGTCTAAGAAGAAATAGGTTCCTTGAACTCGAAATATCGAACACTAACTTTTCTACTTCATCAGGATTGCACGACTGAATTTCATTTATGAGTACCTCGGTTAGATAAGTGAAATAAATATGATTATGAGTTTGCCGGGATCAGCAAATCTCAACCAAAAACTCTAATGAGTGAATTTTTATCAGAGTTTAATTTGAAAGTTGAAACCTCTTATTATAACATCATGATGTGAATGAATATTTCTCTGGTCAGTACTCATCAAGTGTTGGTGTCGAGAAAGTATTATCGACAAATGAATGAAGAGAAACCAAAACTGTCTGAATTTGGATCTCGATGGAGACAGCAATTTAAAAACGTCTTTCACATTATACTAGACCCATCCATTTCACCTATCGTTCATACAAGTCGCTCATTGGTGAACATATGATGTGAAATTTTTAATTCATAGGAATTATAGTGGCATGTAGCAATAGACTGATCCACTTAACTGTGAAGTTTATGTGTACTGAAAACTGTTTAGTATTCGAAGATGGCCATGAAGACACCCAAGAAATTAGCTTGGTTCTTTTTATTAATTGTTGGTATAGTCAATATTTATTAAGTTATTTAAGTTATTAAAGGCTGATATAACAGTTTCCATCATGGGTGAACATTTGAAAGTAACTTAGAATACGACATAATGAAAAATATGTAAGTATCATCACATAAAAGTTCTTTGATTGAGGTTAATTACGGTTTGTTACGTCAGCGTCAAGTGTTACCTCACTAGAAATAAAGCTGTTTGACCTCCAGCCACCTGAATGTCTAATATTTATGAATAGTGAATCAGAGTTATCACAACTTTAGGATTTACAAGTCTCTTGTCTAGATATTTTTTCTGGTCAAACCGTGTTACGTTTCACTTGTGAAGTTGAAATCACCACTAAACAGTCCCATTTCAACAGTGATATTCAATTGGGAGCAATAAATGATGATGAATATTCAACGTTTGATCTACTGAGAGGCAACTGGATTACTTAAAGTTTAACCTTACATATTTTAGGTCAGTGGGGGGACAACAGGAGTAGTGAGCTTATTCTGTTATGAATATGATACTTTTTCAGCCGAGTTATTTGTGAACACAAACAATATCAGATTTTGTATCATTTTTATGTTTTTACTTCTTTAGATGATAACACAGCTCTTGCGATTTGTCAATCCCTCAATTAGTGTAATGGTTTGTGGACATTTAGGTCGTGAGGAGTTGGATGCTGCTTCATTGGCTAATTGTGTAAGTTATTATTGCTATTGTTTCGATTGGTAGAATTTCGAATTTTTGATGCCTTCTAGGTACGGGATTTAGCATAGACGAATGTATATATCATAATGAACTTATCCTCGTCGTAACTCAGTACTTACAAGGGAAAATCAGGCATTACAGGACTGGGCAATTTTATCAGTCAACTTATAACGAAATTTAATGCAACATTTTAGTGAAGAAGAATGATCTCACTTATACGAATTGGATAATTTATGTTGTATACCCTGTTTTGCTTTGTTTACTAAGTAGTGGAATATGACTGGGACATTGACCACATGGTCTAAAATTTGTAAAGCTGTTATGGTCGAGCATACACCATTGTTTGATACAATACAAAAGCTCTTCTGTCTGCCATGGTGAGAACCGAGATTTTGCCTCGTCCTTCAGTGTTACGTAACTTTCGTTTTTGAAGGCTTTTGACTCACTCTGATCATCCGAGTGTTGACACTTTCACTCTGTTTTTCTATTCTTAGTATCATTGTTTTTTGTGTGACAACCGCTTTAGTCAATCCAGTCAACATTATCATTATTCATCTATTGATGAACCAATTTTGTGAATGAGAATCACATAATAAATGTTAAAGTATCGTTCAGTATGTTTTTTAGAGTGTCATGTACATCCTTAGATTCATCCAACCTCTAGACAAGTGCAAATTTGAGCAGCTTTTGCGTTTAGCAGCACGTTTTCCCTACTTTAAATCTGTCGTATTGTGTGATCATTTCTGAAGTGTTGATTATGGAGCAGAAATTATTATTCCCCACTTATCATTCTCCTACTTGCATTCTCTCTACATATGTTAATCAATTTGCCTGACCCGATTTCTTTTTCCCTTTTGATGTGAAATGCTACCGAAAGTGAGCGCTTCACCATATATCTAAGTAAAACGTGTCAAACAAATACTTTGTAAGCTTCATTAGATACACAGTCTTAAACTTCTCATGAAATGTAGCAACGCAGAAGACAATGAACGGTCTCGACAGATCAAGCTGAAGTGATAAAAGCTTCGAGATATTCCAGGTCGCAATGAAGGTTTTATATATTCGTGATAGGAAATTTCAATCTCAAACAAAAGACATTTATATATCTTGGGGATATTTCTCTATTAGAGCAGTTATGGTTTATTTTGACCGCACTTTATTTCTAACCATGGGATGCTACTCCACATCTGAAGCTATAAACTGCTCGTGCCGAATGTTTGAGAAAGTTATTTTGATGAATAAAGGATGTTTCTATTGATAATTTCTTTTTGAACCTCCTTAGTTATGTATCTGTGTTCTTCAGTTAGAGATTTAGTGCCTGTTAACAACAGTGAGAATTCATTTTACAGTCAGTCATTAATAAAATCTAAAATAGTCGATAATGTAGGTAATAAAATGATACTAGGTGTTCAAAAAGGATTAGCGCAGACAGTTACCGGTTGGAAAGCTGGCCAGTGCAACAGAAATGCCTACGACTACTTCTTTCTCATATGTAATTCAGATGGTTTCAGTTTAAAGGCTACAGTTTCTGCTATTTGAAGTATTCTGTACCTTGTAGCTAGTGCTAAATTAATGGGGACAGGGTAAATAATACGTAATGATGAACTTCTATTTGCGTTATTTTCTGTTTGAACTAAGTGAGATAATATCGAGCTGTTTACACTTTTCACTAAACCTGTATTTAGCCATAATGAGAAATTTTCTCGAGCACAAAAATTGAACTTTTGGGACATTGACTGCACAGGAGCTATTGGAATGACGAACACAATAGGATGCAATCACCTTAAGTATCTGTTGATTCAGCCTCGGTAACACAACTGGGCATGTATGAAAACCAAGGTGCAAATTTTATTTTATTCAACCGATTAACTACTGTAGAATATGAACATAAGGTTAAGAAAAACTTAGCGTGAATTTATTTCGTTTTTATGAGATCTTCTTTGAATGCCTACAGTATGAAATATTAAGTATTTAGATTCACCATACTGCATTGTCATGGTCTCTGAACCCCCAAAGGCTTGCGTACAGGGGATCACCCACTCCCCTACTGTGTAGCTTGAATTCTACCTGTGGCATGGCAGATTAGTAATAAAAGTTTGCAAAAAATTATGACAGCTGGTCTGAAATTGGTTAAAATGTTCAAGTAAAACCAGCCTCAGACGGATCGCACATTTTCACATTATTCTAAAAGTAAATATAATCAACTTGAAGAATAAGTGTCCTGGTGTGGTTCGCAGATGAGTATTGGGATTATTATGAAATTTTTTTTCCTACAGGATAAATAAGCGGACATTTTAAAAGGATAGAAAATTGAATCCTCTCTAAAAATCAAAAAAGATGACAGTTCCCTGTACAGTTTTGCATAATGTTATTAGAAAATAAATTTGTGGGTAAAACAAGTCATCCATTTGAGACAGTAACATCACCCACTGAGTGGTCATAGCATTTGTTGTGGGAATTAAGTAGTAGCAAATAATAGTGAGATGGTATAATTTGGTTACGGTAGCAGGGACTGTGACAGCAAAATGAAAACAGGGGAAGACACATTGTTCTTGTATGAGAATCGCCTTTGTAGTACCAACTTAGGTTTGCAACAAGAAAAAGGTACCGGTGAATATACAATGAGTTTAATTCACGCTTTGCAATAGCTTCACTACAGCTTAGCATTAGCTAACCTTTGATAGTTTTAGTAGAACGTAGGATAAACTGTTTCAGGGTCAGCGGTTTATTTTGGAATTTGGCGAAGACGTTTACCTACTACTATTGATTGCTAAGACGTGAGAATGATGGTGGATATGAAGTCACCTGAGATTCATTTACTAGAGTCTTCTGCATAGTTTGATCAATATTCCTTGTCTATATGTCTTTCTACATATTAAGACTTCACACTTTTGCCTAATTCGCTTCACTTAAGCCCTGAAAATTCTGTATCAGTGACTGATTGCATATGGTTGAAACTTGTTGTACAATCTGACTATATTAGACAAATAAGTTACACTAGTTATATTTCTATTCGACTCAATAGCCTTTACAATGAGAATATTCTTCCTTTGAGAAATCTTTTGGATAACTTAAGGTATATAACTAAGTGTCATATAGGAAATTCAGTAGTCATCAATATCTGTGGAAAGAGGATCAAGCAGGTTCCTGCTTTAAGCAACGGGGATACAATCAAAATCGTGCTTAAAACAGGGCAAAAAAATAACTTACCGTGGATTTTATGTGTTTACATTTATATGCTTGTATATCTAGCAGGCTTTTAAGGAGATCAAATCTAAACATAAAACTCAAAATCGAGTGCAGAAAAGGAAAATCACTCAGTGCCGCCACAATGAGTAATCCAAGTGAATCCATTGAAATAAAGGCTTATTCATACTACAGATACCTTATTAAAGAAACATGTTGGGTAATAAGATGTAAAGCATTCCAATTTGTTGGGCTGAATTTAGCTTTTTTCTACTGTAGATGAGTTTTTTCCTCTTTCAACATTTTGGTAACGCAGTCAAGTGAACTCATTTACTCTCACTCTTTGTTTGCTGTCACTGTCGACTTTGAGGTCAGAATAGATAAGTTTTCAAGACCTTATGCTAGTAAATTTGAATGATGGGAGTCACGAACACTGTTCACTTTCAAGCAGAACGTAGTACGTTGAGTAGAAAAGTTCGAGTTACTGAAGACAGTTGAATACCCGTTAACTGTATACTTATAGGTAACCTGCAGCATCCTGAGTGAGAGCTGGTAAAAACTCATCACCGTTACTAAATAATATACACTTTCTTAAAAAGTCAATAATTAATTCCTTGGAAGTTTATATCGTCACATATTGATGTTGCACTTCATCTTAAAATATGCTAATTTACTAAATAGAGTTGCAATGGTTTTACATATTTTTGTGTTTTAGATAATTAATATACTTGGCCTTAGTATAGATACAGGATTTTCTACTGCTTGTGATACACTTTTTTCTCAGGTTAGTTATCACCTTTAATGATCTTGGTAGCAGGGTCATTTCGATATAATAATTTTCATCATTTGTACGATGAATGAATGGCTACTTGATCAGATTCAAAGAAGATTTATATTTGTGACACAAATGAATTTAGGAGTAATTTGATGCTTACTTTTTTCAGATAAGTATTTGGTGAATCAGGAGGATTTTTTAAATCAAAAATAGTAAAATAAATTTTGTAAAATCAAAATCTAATATACTCTTTTCAGTCCTGATAGAGATTATTTACGTTATGTCTGTGATATCGTTTAGGGCACTGAAGTATGTGAGAAATAAATCATGTAAAGTGCGTTAGAGATAATGGTGATGCAGTAATTAGGATAACTTGCCATTTCAACAACCAAGTCAAAAATCTGGAGTCGTTATGTCAGTGAAAATTTCGTAATTACTGAAACACGTGAATTGGAAAACATGTTTAGTCACGTCAACGAAGCCTTTGAAAAAATTCAGTTAACAAGAGAAGAAAAAAACCCCTTCATAGGCGTTCTTACCGGTAGAACACATGATGGGGCCCTACAGACTCACGTGCGCAAGAAGGTGACACATAAAGATAAACGTTTTATCTACAGCGTTTACAACCCCACATCCGACGGGAAGAGCTGAGTACAGGCACTGTCCTCACATGGTAAGATTCACTGCAGCACTCAACAACTGCAGGCGTTAGGATAAAGCCACCTTTTAAAAGGGTTCAGAGTCTGTCATAATCCAACAAACTTCATCAAGAAATTCCCGTCGACAGAATATGCATCAGAACACTTACGTCATACTGCGAAACAAATCACTTTACCATCTATCAAAAATGTCTCAGAAACTGTCAATAGGTTGCTTGCACACAAACCAAACAAATCCCTGCAAGCTAAAAGGTTCATTATGCAATGTAGACAAGACCAAAACAGACTACAAACTTAGTTGCAAAGACTGTCATATCCTTATGCTAGTCAGTGCAGTCATGCAATACTTGCAGTTAGGCGGTACTGTGTCATTATTGATATTGATAAATGCAGATGAGCACAACCACAACTTCAGTTATAACAACGCAGAAATACTAAACCAAGCAAGCTTAAAAAATGCGTGGGAACTCAGTAGGCATGGTACTCCAGTCAAATGGCAATCAACAGAAATATGAACATTGGCTCTATCGATATATGAACTACTACCAGATATCAGTCAGGGAAATCAATAGTCAGACATTATGTCAACAGAGTAAGTCAAATGATAACAATAGTTAAAAGGGTCAACCTCTGTTAAAAATGAAGGACAGATCACCCGTACCCACAAGCCGCTAACACTCTAGGTTGGCAGTTATCCTTCGAAAACATTCATGCAAATAAAAAAACTTCACTTCTTTGTGAATTGCAAGCTGATGAAGTTTCCTAGTCTGGTCATCAAAAGTCCAAGAACAAACCTCAAAGCTTGGAGAACATCAGATAACTAACAGAGTGGCGAATTTTCATTTTCAAACACCAGGAAAGACCAAAATGTTTACTGTTAATCCTGATGAAGTTCTAGTTGGCTATACTGTTGAGTGCTGCATAGTTCAGTGGACAGAAATCTTGTATATAACTTCCAAATCTGCAAATAATCCTTCACACAAGATGATTGTTTGCACTTTTTGTTGTTGTACGACACCGCATTTTGCTGTATCCTTCTGATCTAAGCATGCTAAAGCAATTAGGTCGATGATCTGTAGTTGTCATCATGTGATCAGTGGCCTGAATTAAACTTCATTGCCATTAAACCCTGTAAGATAATAATGATCAGGCCATCATTTCAGCCATTGTCTGGCAACTGATTTGTCTGAATTAGTAGTCCATTAACCGCAGTACTAAGCTGACTACAAAAATGTACGCATAGTGCAAGCTGACGGGCGTTCAGAATTTACCTTCCGTTTCGTTCTGGTTAATCATATCAGTCGTGGTTATTAACTGCTGATTGTCAGTTAAGTCTTCAGTGATTTCTTAAATGGTTTTAATCGCAAGAATAAAATTATTTTGCTACAGACATATTTGTAATTAGTGTCTTTCAAGATATTGAAGCCTTTTATAGGAACCTGAACACCATAATGAAAAACTTTAGGGAGATGTTAACTGGTTGCTTGAACTTTATTAAAAATCATCACTGTGTACGAGTAAATCCTATAGGTTCTGTCTGATAAATCTGTTCATTTTGTTCATACTAATTATTTTCTTTTATTTTCCCGAGCAGTAAAGAAGTGACAGATACAGTAGACTAATGTGACTAAATTTCTTTGCACAGATTTCCTCTTGCCAGTAACAGCTTAAAGAAACATAAGTGTGCGTAGGTGAAAACGTCCTACGCAATTACTTTTAGTGTTCGCCGGAAATTATTACCTAAAATTTGAGATGACATAGATGTATAGTAACCAGACTACTTGGATTATAACTGGCCGTAAGTAAATTATAGTGGTGATTTTCATAGGGTAATGTAAACGACTGTTTTCAAGGCTAAAGGATAATCATTTGGAATTTACAAAATATAATTCGAGAAATGTTGGCGAGTTGAAACTAACTTGTTATTTGAGATGAAGACAACGCATCTGAGTCAGTTTAAGTCTGCTCTAGATATTGAGATCCTCTAACCGCTGTCCATTGGCTGAAGTAATTGACTGTTAGGTGTAGCTGTATGTTCATTTGTTTCATCAGTCCAGTTAACCAAATTTGGTGCAACTCTTTAATCGAACAAATGTTTATTCGAGACCTGTTGTAAATTCCACTTGTAAATATCGGAAGGCATGGAACTTTGGTCTGTGGTTCCTACAAACTTTTTTCAGCCTCTTTACATTCTTCTAGTCTCACTTTGTATATTCACTGAAATCCTATGCAACCTATTGATATTATTTGTAATTGCACAAATTACATCGTTTATTAATGCTGACTGAATATTCCTAATACAGAAAATTCGAGCAAATGTTCTGATGAGTTGCATGTCATAAGGTAAATGTCCTCTGTTGAAATTTCAGCAACCGAAATTAATATTCATCAAAACTTGAAGGAACCTAGTGATCTTACCAATGTTATGTGATAACGTGGAACTCCTCAATGCAATGATCAGACGGGAAAATACATTTTTATGTTCATTTTATCATATTTAAGCAAAAACTGAAGGATAATAAGGGAAAATGCACGTCATGTATTTCTATGCATTTACCACCACTAACAGTATTTTTGACTGGTAAACTGGGATGTTCCAGCAGGATGTGCTGATGAAAATGTTCAAACCACGCCACTATGTGTTGAAAATGGTCATTTGCCCATTTTACTGTCCTGTATGCTCTCAGCTCATACTTCAACAACGCTTCCGATACGGATCTGGGTGTTTTGAAGATTCATGAAGTAACTCAATTAGATTAATTTTTCAACTAAGGACTGTTATACAGTCATTGTTTCAATAAATAGGATTTCAAGGAACAATTTTCTAAATGTTTCCTCGTTTAACTTTTTCAAATTAGCTTTTCTTCGTTAAATATCTTTAAGCATGCGTAAAATCAGCGATTGGTGTTGCTGCTTACCTTCTTTAATTGTAGGCCTATGGAAGTCATTACCGTAAAGTGATGGGTATATTTCTTCAACGAGGTAAGATGGTATAACTTTGCAATTATGTTAATCCATCAAATTTCTTATTTTGTTTAGCTTTATGTGTTGTATGCTTCATATACACAATACTGGCATGTATACACTTGAATATCGAGGCCGTACTACTACTACTTGGTCAAGATCCGTTAATTGCATCGTAAGTTTATATATATTTCGTTAATTCCCACTTGTGTGAGCATAAGAGCTTGTTACAGTACGCTGACTCTAATGCACTTACTGAGCACTAGCAATTTCTGATAAAACAATGGTGTATTTCTCTGAGCTTTAGTTAGCAAAGCGTTTTAACTGAAAGTAGAAATCTCTCAGAATCTCCCTTTACATTCATCTTAGATACTGTTGTTTCTCATTAGAAAATGCGAGCATATTCAAATCTAAAAGATCATATGAAGATAACAGCTGAAAACCTTAAGATTATATGGTACTTTACTGATACATTAACTACTGTTCACCGACAACTCCGTTTACAAAGGTTTAGTCGTTACTTGAGAAGTCTGTTGGAAAAGTCTTCTAATTCACCACTGAGTGACGTGGGTTGAAATTAAAGAAACGCGGATTTCTTCAAGATCGGAGCTGAAATTCTGATAATGACGGTCAAAAGCCTAAAGCCTAGATTCAAGGTTTCTTATTGACTAATTCCCGAAGAATATCAAAGCGTTGTGTTTCACAGTTTCATGTCACTTGGCTTAGTGGCCATACTGAAAAATTTGAGCGGTAGACTTTGTCAGCACTGAACAATAAAAAATAAGCAGCTGCATTAGTCACCTACTGGTAACTGATTCATGTACATAATTCAGTGGTGAGGGAGCTAATCGTTGTTGAAACTGATTTATGGTAAATTTTCTGACTTCAGAATCTAGATTTAGGTTTTCCTTCTATCTGTCTTCAAATACATGACACGCTGTGATATGCTTATTTTTTCTTGTTTTCATCAGCGTTATGCTCATTGCAAAGTGTACCTCATGGAAAAAACATTCAAGTTTCAGAATGGTCATTGACAGCTTTACTGAAACTTAGCTTGCACGTCTAAGTTAGCTAGATATTTAGAACAAACAATTCTTCATTGATAAGTGAAAGTTTGCTGACATTTATTTTTCCCTTACTGCATTTCATTTAGCCTCACGTCGGAATATATAATATACTTTTTGCCAGGTCTCGGAGTAAGTAGTAATATGCGAAGTATATTTGTTTCTTACCTTTTTTATTCGTTTTCATTTCATGATAACTTCATATTTAAGAATAAAGCTTTAAAATTTAGCAGTTCTCTTACTCAAATATTGAAAGCACATATAAATTCCTTTACTTTGCTAGTTGCTATTGGTGTAAAACTTAGGCATTGTGGCAAAATGTAATTGCGTTTCAGATTTGTTGATTTGATTTATCACAAATAGTGATACAGTATTATTTATTTGATGACGCTTTGAGCATAGATTATTGCTCATCATCTCATATCAGTGTAACCTCACTACTTTTGACATATGAGTTTTATAGTCCTGTCATTTCATATCTTTTGTTTTTATTGGTAGTAAAATATCCCATATCTCTGGTATATGTGTTGCATCATCCCTGTTACATGTGTTGGGGTATGTAATCTCTTTGCATGATTATTTATTCTGGTCAAAGTTTATGGCCAGATTATATTTCAGATACTTTTGATGAGTTTAATATTCAGTTTCTCAAAATTTCTTCTTCATGTTGATGGTTTCTTTGGATAGAATTAGAACGGTTCGATTCAAACTTTAGTAACTGCCTTAATCCATAATGATAACTTGGTTTAAAATACGCCTTTGTTTTATTCTGTATAAACATCGTTTTGATTTGAGTGCAATGTTGATAGTTACTATTTTACTCGGATGTGAATCCATGACTTTATTCGCAACTATTCATTGTGGATCATTAGTTTTTAACGTGCGTTATAATGACTTACATTTAATAGGTCACGGACTCGAATCCCGCTCCACTTACTGAGGTTTGGGTAGCCAGGTAGTATCATTAGCCCTCACACGATAGGTAGGGCTGATTGCCTACTGTATGAATGTGCGCAATCTGGCTGACGGTATTTTTATTTCTTCGATACTGTTATTGAGATTCTGTGGAGATAATTCTAAGGTATTATTTGGGTTTTACGTTGCATGATCAGACTAATTTCGATGCTGCATCACTGATAAGCATCGGAGGTATTCGTCATAGCAGAAATGAAACTGGTGTAAAAGAGGCTGTATTGAAAAGATAAATAACTGTATGGGCAAATCATTTCAGTACGAATTGATTCCAGTCTCTTTGGCTAAAATAAATAAGTTAGGGGCCTAAATTCTTGTAAATACTGTATTCCATTGATCCGAATTCGACTGTGGATAAGAACGTTTGTTATATAATTATGTAAAAAGACGATTTGGGTCATAAAGTATGACAGTGAAAGTTGGAGAAAATTTTCCTACTGAACTTCATTATTAGGAAAAATGTAGACTAAAAGAGTAATGAGGATTTCATTTCAGAAATCGTGGGAGGTGAAAGCGAGGTATAAGAGTTAAACTCAGAATATTCACTGACTGCTGGATCTTTGGACCTTGTTATATGACCTATCGACTTTTCTCTACAATAATTTTTATTGTCACGTGAACTATCTCCTGACGGTTTGCTCGTTATTACAGTTGAGAAACACTATTTTGACCTCAGATACAATGAAATTTCACTGAGCTAACGAAAAGTTGTTTCCTTGTGTGGTTTTTAATGGTATCAAATAATGATAATTTTGTCCGACAGAGATTAAATCATGACGCATCATAATTCAAATGGATGAAAATATCTACTATTGTAGTCGGATCTAGTGAATACAAGTTCAGTGTTTTTCCTGCTCAAAGAAGGGTTAATGCATACATCAGGATGAATGTTAGCATCCTACTGCTTTACCATGCAGTCGATGAAGAATAATTTTTCCTGCAATAGTTGATTGCCCATTTTGGTTTATTTGGTATCAGTTTGTCACAAATGTTAATTTAGAATACTCTATTACCTATTAAATATAAAATGAAGAAGTAACTTATACGCGGGATATGATGTTGTTTGTATCACCTCGTCGATGATTAAACCAAATTCATCGACCTGTGTAGGCATGTGAACTCATGCGAGGATGCTTCGATAGTGTCTATCATTTCAGTTTCGATATTAATGATAGAGGACGGCTAGCAGTGGAGTCCAGGATGCTCGCTTTGTTCTATTTAGGACTTGCTAGTTCGATGTATCTGCCTCTCAGTGAGCGAAGGGATTAGACAACCAACATCATATAAACTATACTTGTTGCATAAAAACGGCTATTGTGACTCATTGGCCTAGTGGGTAACGCTCTGGCGTTTGCAGCGGTCGATGCTGAGTTCGAGCGCTAGTGGGAACAACTTCGCATATGAGTCCGAAATAGGGTGAAACGTGCGTTCTGGATTCCACTGCTAGCCACTGCCATTCATTGTTTACACGCGGATGTTTAATTCTTTCATAGAACAGTGGTGAATATATGTGGTTAATCAGTGTCTTCATTGTTACTTTTCAGTTTGACTTCTTATTTTTGACATTTGCTCGTTATTTACAAACGCAAAATATTGTTGTACCTATGGTGTGCGCTTCATCTATAGGAACACTCGTGAATATTGCATCTCAATATTTTTTTGTCGTTCAAAGGAATTACGGACTTCGGTAAGGTGTACTGAAATACTGCTTCTTTATATATGTACTTGTTCTTTCCTGAGTAGTTTTATCAGTCTGAAAATGTAACTTATACAAAGAGTTTCCATTTCTTGACGAATATCTAATGTTGTTATCCCATATAACTGCTTTAGAAGCAGCACGATGACGTCATACTATGCGTCAGATATCATTAAAACAAAAAGCCAGTCAGTGACAAATTATTCTGAGGATTTTATATGACACTATTCAAAGTTATTTCAGACGTGAAGTGAGTTATAAACCAGTGGTCAAAGTGCACTTAATCACAAAACCCAGTAAAGGTTACACTAACCGATTACAGGCACCATTTTATGAAAGCAAAAGCTATGGTTCTTACCAAAATGAAACCATGAGAATCAGCTGAAAACCTTAGAAAAAAGTTACAAGACAAAAGGTGTCACTATGTTACATGAAAACGTTTTTACTCTTAGGCGCTACATAACTTGGAGCAATCAAAATGAGTAGACAATGTTGTTGTTCTTAAGATTTGCGGAATGAACATAGCAAGGTCAAATCCTTTATTTTAATCACTTTTAATCAAGTTCACAGGCGTTCCGATAACTAAGTGGATTAATGCATAGTCATGCGGTGGCTCAAGGAATCGCTCTAATTCAGCAGGTAAATCAAGCTCCACTATAGACTGAATTAATAATTTGCAAGCAGCTAAAATGCTGTTTAAAGAATTCATGAAATCTCATAGGGGTCGAACAGCTTTCGCAACTTAGTACGTTATTTACTTTTACAAAAGATACATCTTTACCAGTCCTAACAATTCCACTTTTGTTGATTGCATCTCTAAGGCGTCATTAGAGGAAAATCGCCTCACAATACATGTGACGCCAAATCTCATGAAACATTGAGTGTCTTATCGTCTGATTAGAAGTAAGCTGATTTACGTAGGACCCTATTCTTTTGGGCTTGCGATTATCCGCTTCAGAACTGACGAAAAGGCTGTCTGATTCATACTGAAATTCAGTCACTTTTCAGTTGTCAGTAAGCAGTCATGACAAAACACAGTCATTTCACCTATTCTCAGAGCTTGTGAAATATACAGCAATGCAAACCAACACCTACAACAGGTTTCACTTACCGGACTGTGAGGTGCACTAAACGTAATGCCACTAAGATGCCATAATAAAAGTAGATACAGAGAGATTATAATGAAAAGCTTTCTAGGTAAGATTAAGTTATTAACCCACTGAGTCATTCTTTCAGGAGTATCAGGCTGACACCAGCTAAATTCATCTAAAAGTTTTGGTGACTGATCAAAAATATTTCCTCATAACCATTGGCAGTACCAATTTTTTTATATCTAACAGTATTTATTGTGAACTTATCATGTCGAACAACTGGAGTGTTTAGAAAATCAAAAAGGTTTTTCTGAACGTTTTGTCGTGTATCCTACAGCTTCTTCAGCAAAATATTCCGATTTTTATTCAACATCAAAATAGTTACTGTCAAATGGTACATGTAGGAATTCCAGTCTTTACACCATTGGTTAGCTGATTTGTAGTTCAGACTGATTAGTTTTTACTAGTCACTGTAAATTAATGCAGACTTTGTCATTTGTCATCAAACACAATTCAATAACCAAGGTATTTGTATATGTGTAAATGTTGTGAAAAATGTGTGTCGTTAGTTGTTCATTGTATGAAAATTTGAAAAACATGCTTGTTCATGGACAATAACTGACCGATGATATGTCGTTCAGATACTAATGGATGTCTTCATATAGAATTACGCTAAAATTACAAAAAACAATTCGTAGACAACTGGGCCTTTTGCCAACCTGTGACCATTTGGCTTGTTTAGTCTATTCCTACAGATAGTCGAGACTTGTGTAGTTTGCAGATAATGTCCAAGACTTCATCACGAATTGATGAAGATAGAAAACATAAAAACAATATGAGTTTTCTGATGACTGTGGAAATATGTTGCCTATAAGGGATTTTTTTGATTGATTACTCTCATTGAATAGTACAGCATGAGGTTATATACCTAATAGAATCATGTTACAAGAACACAACTTGAACCATTGATTCTCTTTTTCTGTATAATTTTTATATGGAGTTTCAAACCAACAGTTAGCTGTAACTGAACTAAGAACCATCGGGAAACATGCAGATTTGGAGTCAGAACGTCACTGGAACAACTGGTTTTGGTATTTGGAACGTGAATTTTAGTCAATAATAAAAGGCTAACTGCATATTACCAACCTTTAGTGTATCAATTCGAATGACATAGGGTAGCGCATTTTCTTAAACCACTGTCACAGAAAGTTACTGTATTTCAGTTAGCGACTCATGTGACTTCTATTATTTAGAGATCATTATTTTTCCTCGCATAAAAATATCAAAAAAAGCATTTAGTTGGTTAAACCTGTTTTTTGAATGACGACAAAAACTTAATCAGAAACATTTTTGGTGTTGTGAAACTAATTTAACTAATTGTGGCTCAGAGTTGAGTATTGAAAATTTGATACCTAGTGCTGGCTGTCGTTAAAGAAAGATTATGAATACTGACGTACTGGGATTCTAATTGTGTTCTAGCAAAGCATTAGACTAGAATGAGCATTCCTTTAATATGTTAATTTCAATACATTGACAAAAATAATATGTAATATAATTATCACTGTTAGGGTAACTGTTGTTCGTTTTTTTATGCCAGGGATTGGAAAGCTATTGTTTATGCCAAGCATATGACAGTTTGTCCTTTTTTTAAATCTTAGGGCATCGGCTATCTGCCTTTCGTTATCATTTGGTTGTATGCTTCTCTGCGAGTTGGGATATATAATTGCATCAAAAGTTTATAAAGAAACATGGGATGGTAAGCTGGTAGTTCGATTTCATATGAAATTTTTCTCCAACCTTCTTAATTCTGTTCACATAGTGAGTTTAATAAGTTAGTCTGCAGACACAAGTTTAAGCATGTAATCCGGTAAATACAGGTAAACTGGTCTTTGAATAAAAAGGATGTCTAGAACTAACACTTAATGAAATCCGACGAAATTTAACTGCGTCAATCTAATGACAGTCTTGGTGATCGCACTCTTTAAGTGTTTGTAAGTGTAATCAACACGAATGACATAGATGGTTTTATCAGGTCACTGGTTATTTATTATCGCATCAGGTTTCGTGAAGGTAAATATTTTCATACCTGTAGCAACAAGACGAAGTCACGGAAAAGCAGTTAAAGAAGAAAGTGAAAGATCTTCATAGTTTGTGAAATACCCCCTTCCTCCTTAATTGTTTATTGTTTCTTTTTTCGACACCAAAACACACAAAACCGTCAGAGTGAATTATTGCAGTATTTACTTAACATTTTATTGAATGCATTTGTGTTTCGGTGTTTGGTAGGTAAATTTTGAATTTGAATTTTACGATCAGGTTTAATGTGGTGTATTGCATACTTCTGATGCATTCAAAAAGTTGTTCACTGGTTGACTTTTCACATATTGCCTCTTTAAATAACAAAGGAGAGTATGCTGCTTGCATGATAAGTATTCTTGAAACAGCAACAACTGAAACTTAGAAAAACTAAAAACAATAGAATGGTGTGACTGTGTTAATTAAGGTTGTTGTAAGATTGCAGCTAAGCATACTGTATACAGGAGAAAACTAACTACTTAGCTAACAGTGATGACCAAGCATCTGAAATCAGGATATGAAAACTTTTCTCGAGAGAAGACTGGGTTAAAATCTTTTGAAGGACACATGTTGGGTAATTACCTTGAAAACATGCTAACGTTTGAGAGTTGTAATTCAAGTACACTTACTGGGAAAGACATTCTCAATGTCAGATATTACCTTTTTCGGTTCCCTGATATTTATCATTTGGTTTATTGCTGCCATAAGTTCTTAGTTTTGCTAAGGAATATTTGCTTTAAGTTACATCCCAGGTCTCACGGCACATAATTTCACTGGATTAATAAGTTTTTACTCGGTTTTATATAAAGTTTGCATTCTTTAGTGACTTCCACAGTAAAGTATAGCTTTACACAAGTCAAACAAAGGTGGATATTTGAGAAGACTACCTTCTGCATTATGTATTATGCATTTAGTGATTCAGTCTGGTTTCAGATACTTAGTGATAACCACCTTTTTACAATGTGTAGTAGGCCTTGAAGTGCAATTTACTTAAAACCACACTGAACTATCCACATTGTTTGTGACTAACGTACACTGTCATTTAACTAAGACATTGTGTCTGAGGTGAGGTTGCTCATACTCGACGTAATAGCATATAGACTCTTAAAAAATATGCTATGTATAAAGAAATGAACGAAATTTTGAAGGAGATTGTGACCAAGATCAAATTAGAGATTGAGCATAACTTTTTTGAATGCTATGACCAAGCTTTAACCATTGAATTGGAAAAGCTTCTGCTGTTGAGAAAAGTTGTTTTCAAAAATCATTTCCAAAAGCAGTACAACCACAACTATAGTTACGACAAAATATATATCCATTAATATCTAACAGGCTCATACAGAATCATCAACAATGGTCAACAAGGTCACAAGATGTTATTGGTTAGATCATTCCAAATGGTGGATGAGTTTGTAAAAGAAACTGTGTCACACCTTTCATGGCATTTGGAACTGATTGGACGTCATCATGAATCCCTCAGTATTTGTTTTATCATCGTAGCTGTAAAACAGCATCCATTACATCAAACGTCAGAACCATATGAATATAGCTACTGGGTCACGAGAAGCGCAACCTTTTCAACGGATACCACCATTTTTGCCTTTACCAAGACTGTTTAAACAATGTAAGTTTTAGTGTCAGACACCACTCGGTGTTTGTAGGTTCACCTGGCTAATTAGTTCCAGAAAAGGAAAATAATACTTTTGAATCTCACTGCTAGTTACTCTTGACTACAATAATGTTTATACAAGATTATCCAAAAATTGGTGACCTAAATGTGCTAACAGCATTTATCAAGAGAGAAAATGAAAACTTTTTCACTAGTGAGGACAACAGTTTAGGCAGAATAGTATGCATCCACTTTATTTTGGGGTTCCTCATCAGCTGCTTGCAACCTAGAACAATTTTACCATCAAAATGTTGACATTAGTAAACTAATATGAATAAGAATTATCAACCAAAGAAAGGATAACAGTGACCTTGCATAATTCAAGCTTCGTGAATTGAGTGGAATTATAAGAATTAAAAATGTTATCTCTATATAGGAAAATTCAAAGTATATCTTAAAGATAGAAATGAATAAAGAAACATAAGATCAATGTTTTCTACATATTAAGGAAGGTTAATTTAAGAAAACTGAGTTACTAGAATCTTGAGTTTAAGGCTGAAAGCATAGAACTGAACGAGGAATAAAAGTATATGAATAAACAGTTATGCATAAGAAACATCATGATTATTAACAAACAAAAGCCAAAGAAAAATAACCATTGTAGGGATGGACTGACAGGTATTTCTTTGTGAATACTTTGGTTCGGTTCTAATCAATGGATAACTACGCTTCAGTAAAATGCAATAAATTCAAGTTCAACTGTTTATTAATTATGTTAAAATGATTTTTAGATATCGAGTTTGTGTGGAATTTTGCTCACAAATTTAAAGTTTATTTGATATGTGAAAGGGGTTTGCTAAGTATGACAACGAGTAATAAAATATACATTAAAATCCAAATCTTATTTCTATCCTGAAGTAATCAAAAGGTTTATGATGACTAATCAAAAGGCACAATCACAGGCAAAATTAAATTATCATGGCTCACATGACTATAACTTTGATAAAGCTAGTAACAGAGATTAGGGAACGGTCAGTTAAACCAAATTTTAATTCGGAAGATTGCAGGAATTATATTGATTTCAGGTTGGTATTCATCATGGACTGATACTAACTGGAGAAACATTGGAGACTTAGGAGCACTGAACAGCCGTGTTGTCCTAGTATGGGACTCCTCAGTAGCGTGCACTCGTGATACCACATCGTCGGTGATGGAACCCAGGACCTACCGGTTCTGCGACAGGCACGTTACCAACGAGTCACTGAGTCAGGATCCAATGGTCCGTATTTCCTGTGCAATGCCCGTAGGTTTAAAATGTTCCTCCAACTGATGCCAGTCCGTGATGAATACCAACCTGAAAATAAATTTCGTAGTACATTCATTGGGAAATGTAAATACCGATATAACGGACATCATTTATCCAATGCGGAAATTATTCCTAACCATCTCATCCTAATTTGATTTGGATGTCTATAAGCGGTTATGACTCTGTCAAACAAGTTGGTTTCACTCATCAAATGTATTGGACATTCTTACCAAAAAAGTGCATACCAGATCGTTTTTACAGCTTGGTAGATGAAGTCACTTCGCTGAAACACTTATTTTCATTTTATAGCTATCGAACTCATGCTTACTATTAATAGGGTGACGAGCAGTATCATTGTTGAACAATTTCTCATCTCTTATTTGAAAAAGACTCGGGCGCGTAATCACGAACCCATCTCTTATTTGTTCAGTGTACAAGAGCTGGCACGTATGTGTAAACTGACTTCATCTTTTGAATTATACTCAACACATTTTCGTAGCCAGAAGGAATCTTCTAACTCTGCACATATGTAAATATATATATATATATATATATATATATATATATATATACCATTAGTTTACCTTCGCCTTTTTATCGGTCTGCTCTAGAGTATTAATTGACTCTTTCCGTACGTTGACAATTTTGTTTTCACTTCTTGTTTACATTCATCCAGTTCGTGTAACTTCCGTTGCAGAACATCGATGATTTTTTGCCAACCCGTTAATTTTCCCTCAAATTGATTCCACTATTAAAGCATATATATATTTTGACTCTTAAATTGTTTTCGAACATAAGGATATGTATTTCACGTAATTTTACGTAATATTATTTAAAACATTTTCGTATGCAAACTAATTTAACTGTTTGTCTGATCAATTCTTCAAGTTTCCAGTCTGCTTATTGTTGAATTGGTTATTTGCTAACAGAAATGATATAACACCTTTCAGTAAAGTGCGTACCAACAGGCAAATATGAAATCATCTAAAGCAGATCGGCACTTCAACATTGTCCAGAATATTTAAATGGAATAGAACATAACACAACATTAAAGACTCGGAACAAGACAGAGCATTATTAATGAAAAGTTTCTGATGATCTGGCTGCTGAGTATATTGAAAAATTGGTGGCATATTTCATTCCTTTAAAACGTGAATTAATCCAACTTTTTCACAGTTTAAGGCTATGTAGCATAAGGAATGTTCAGGCGGTATCGACGCATCTGCATAATAACATATCTGGTAACAGTAGTCTAGCATTTCGATTCAATACAACAACCGGTGATCATAAGTATTACTAGATGATAACTGGTACCTGCTTTACTAGAGGTGGCTACCTTACCTCAGTGACGTAATTGATAGTGCTTTGGTGATTGAGGAGAAGGGTACTAGGTTTGAATCACAGTAGGTATACCATAAGTCACTGGAGTGCAAATGCATTCAGCTGGTTGGCCTTAAGTAGGATGAAACTAGCGTTTTGAATTCGCCCACTAGCCACCACGTAAACTATAAGATACGTAGAAAAGAATTTTTGTGGAGATTATTAGAACATTTCGGATAGCGATTGAAAATGGCTTCTTTTGTAGTTGACTTACTTGTAACGGAATGTCTGAAGAAGGGATTTAGTATTTTCATTTGCGTAAAGATGCAATTCGCATAACACAATATGATCTATCTTAAAGCTTTCTAGCTGCATGAAACGCTGTTTTTTGTGCTGTTTCATGTTTTTTCATAGGAGAAAAGCAATTATTTACGCTTCTAACAATTGGTTATTTGAAATTCTTTTATATAATTCATCATATTGCCTGCAAACACCCTTGAAGATGATAATGAAATTATATTTATTAAAAGTCTATATCAGGTAATGTATTTGTGACCCCGAAAATTACAAACTGAATTCATGACCCAGTAAATCAGGAAAAATCGGTTTGTAGACGAAATGTAATCAGAAGTTGAAGCTTGTCAGAACAGTATTTTATTCTATGAGTCATAGACGTCATACCGTTTTCTTATAAAATATTTTATTTTACTTTCACTCACCTCGATAGAATCTATTGTGAGATGCTACAGAACATGGTTTGATGACTAATTCTTCTTTTTGAAACTCTCTTCTATGGATTTAGTGTAATTAGCAGATGAAAATTTTGTTGGATCCATTAAAGGAAAGGTCTAATAAAATGCCTGTTTAAGAGGATCTGTCGTGTCTGTCCATCGTATACGATGGATGGATATTTGAAATTACCGACCAAAACACTTATGGAAGACAGATATCCATTATAGTTTACAAGCCTTTGTAGAAGTCAGGTAACACCAAAGTCACTTCTATACATGGTTCCTAAGAAAAGTGTCATTATCACTGTATCATAGTGAGAGAATTCAAATAATATAATTTTGAGACATGAACTTACACTAGCCATTCAGAAAACACATTATTCAGCTAAACTGTCCTTGTGGAAAGGACAAAGCACGTGCTTCACCACAAGCCTTAGCACTGGATCAATAGTTAACTCACCTATTGTGTTTATCAGCTTACATGTGTGTGTGTGATTACACATATATAGAGTGGAGTAATCAAGATATGCAGTTGAAGCTGGAAGAGTGTGAACCCAAGTAGCTTCAAAAAGAGACGAAGTGTAAAACTTTGAAACACGCGGTCTGGAGACCACCCTCTTGATATTTAGCCAAATAGTTTTCAAGATTGTATATAGAAGTAAACAATTGCTCACCTATATTGGAATTTGTGGAAGAGATAGCCAGACGCAAATTGAAATCCCTTTTGTATGTACGAAATCTGTTTGTTCCAACACTACACTTACCTTGGTAAACTTTGTTTTCTTATCAAGATTAGGATCAATTGTCACTCTTCGCTCTTGTTCTCATTTTTCTTAATTTTAATTCCTTATTATCCTAATTGTTTCATTTGTCCTCCTACTTTTCAGTTTTCTATAAATTGGCTTGGCAAGTAAATATATAATCAGACTACTCGAAATGCATTGGGCAAGCACATCAAATTGTTTTAATAAACTTCGTCTTCCAGTTACACTCTCTGTATACTTATTTTTCGTTTTTTCAGGTTTCAGTTTAATTTCTGCATTCAGTAATTGGGGAGTATTTTTTCGACTTGGCATTCCCGGTATATTTATGGTGGCACTTGAAGAGTGGTGCTTTGAAATAATGACACTAATAGCCGGTAAGTTGAATCTTAAATTTGCTTGTAGAGTTGTGTTTATGGGTTAGTAGGAAAAACACCTAGAAAACTATTTCAATTTATTCAAGATTAGGCTATTATTTAGAACCAATATCAGAGTATCGGAGGTCTGTTTCACTAAGATCTCGAACCACGTAGCAATAAATGTGGCCTCTGGAAGCAGTTTACTTTATAGAGCTCGATAATTTCAGTTGCAGGCATAGCCTATTTGGATCAGACAAGATGCTTCTGAGATTGACATGTTAGAAGTAGTGACCGGTTTCTGTCCACAGAAAATTTACTCACTACTCCAATAAATCAGTCTTGTTAAAATACGAAACAGCTTTTCTTAAATTTCTGAATCATCCGTATCGGCTGGTTGATCACTTGCTATACCTCACTTTCAGATTATTGCTTTGTATTAATGGTATGGGAATTTATAAAAGCTTAAAATCTCAAAATTCCCTTAGGAACAGTAGGTTGCTTTCTGTAAATCCAGACTACTTAAATGATTCTCTATAGCTGGATCAAATAGTTCATTGATTTTGCTCGATACATTTTCACTCCAGTGAATGTAAAAATACTTTCTAAGGATCAAATCCAAGGAAATCATCTTCAAGAAGGCTAAGAGAGATTCACAGCTTTGAAGGAAGTACCCTTAAATTATTCTTGGCAATATAGTTGTAAAATGACGGCTACCACAGCAAGATTTTCAGATATAGAGAGTAAGTATGATTTTCGCTGCAGAACAACAGTTAGTGAATTCAGGTACGGCTAACGTCTTCATACTAAATAATCCTGAAACTTCCTCCCTTCTTTTAAACTCGTCAGTGAATACTGTTTGAGTAGGTGTTACATTAACAATATTAACTGCATCTCTTCACTCAGAATTTGTTCACATTTTTTGTTATCTGACATTCTTGCCTATCTAGAGCACTTAGCCTAATTTTCACATTCTAACACCTATTTCTCTGTTGTAGCACTGAGGAAATTGTGTAAATACTTCCCTGTTAAATGGACAACGGCCTTCAAAGGACTTTAACATATTTAACCCATGTTTATTAGTCGTATGATGGATAACAGTCTGCTCGATTCCACTCATAATAGGCGTACCTAAATCTCCTTTCCAACCATTCATTATGGTTGGGGATTATAACAAGAGACTGAAATGTGTGGAACAATAGCCTATAAGCCATCATTTGAGTAGTGATTATAAAACGGTTTCCTGTTCATTAACAGTTGTGCGATTAGACTCTTGCCAGGGTTTCCAGTTTTAAGCAAATGGTAAGGAGTTGTGGTTATTATTTCGGAGTGGTTTGACGTTTGCATGCTCTGGTTAATTCATGGTTCAGTGAAAGTGTTTTACTTGAGTTTCTAAAGCCTCTTAGGTGATCTTTTACCAACCCATCAATTATAGCTCACACATCCATCTGCAGAACGATTTTGACAGCCAAGGTAACTATTATTCGTGGAACAGTAATTACGCCTGATAAACATTATCTAATGTGGTGAAATAATACTGAAAATAAGTTTTACACCGGTATAGATATTTCATAACAGAAGAGGAAGGAAAATGCCTGTTATATGTTTTGAACTGGAGAACACAGAAAACACAACATTAAAATGATCTTTCTCAGCTACACATATTCTCCATCGCCTGTTATATGTCCACTGAAGTTGAAGAAATGGTCACGTAAATCCTTCATCAACAGATGAAACTACAATATCAAAAATGACCAACTGTATATTTTAAAGTTCAAACTACTATGTTAAATGGGCTTTGTGCGACGATGAACAACCAATGTCGTAAACTTTGATGATCACTAAGGAATACAAATAAACGAAGCATATCTCACAATCTGTGTAATACCGAAATATGACTTACTTCCAAAAAAATTATAATCTTAACTACAATATGATAGGTTTCTGTAAATGCTTGTTAACAATATGGCAGTTTTAATTCCTCCGACGTAGCATTTAGGTTAAATGTTGAACACTGAAATTAGGAATATTCATGTCTGAAGAATAACGAAAACACGGTAATAAAGTGCTATTTCGGCAAGCTGTATTATGTTATCATATTATTATTTGTCCATTGGGTTCCTAATGGAACATAGGGCTTCAGTAGCACGTCTCCAATGCGGTCTGTTCTCTGAAATTTTGTTGAACCTGGCTCAACAACTGACCACAAGCTCTCATTTCTTCCTCACACGATATCCTCCTTATCACCCTCACCTCGGAAGCCCAACTCGTCGTTTCCCATCGGGCTTCCACTCGAGGGCCTGACGCGTGGTGCCCCCCATCGGTCTTCTCAGTGTATACACAATCCATCTCCACTTCCTCCTGCATATTTGTTGAGCGATAGGTTCTTGATTGGTTCGTTCCCAGAGTTCCTTGCTGTTTATTCTTTCTGGCCATCTGATCTTCAGTAACGAGCGGCGTAGGCAGTTGTTGATGAATGTCTGTAGTTTGTTGGAAATCCCTTTCGTGACGCGCCAAGTCTCTGAGCCATACAGAAGCACTGATTTGACGTTGATGTTGAAAATCCGGATATTGTTCACATTGTATGCTGAGTGCAGAAGATCTCCATACTGGTTTCAGGCTAATGAACGCCTAGCTTGCTTTTCCGATTCTGATTCTGACATCCTCGTGTGTGCTGCCTGTAGTTGAAACAGTGCTGCCTAGATAGGTGAAAGAGGCTACTTCCTTTAGGTTTCTGCCGTTGATGATGATTGGAGTTTGTTGCTGGTGCTGGTGTCGTTGGTTGGGTATCTTCATCACCTCTGTCTTCTCTTTATTCACTTCAAGTCCCGTCTTCGCTGCCCTGCCTCTTCTGTCAACTTGTTAGTTTTCGCCTGTAAATCTCCAAGTTTGTGTGACATCAGACACAAGTCATCGGAGAAATCCAAGTCTTCTAGGTTCTTTTTCGTGGTCCAGTGTATCCCCCTCTTCTCGCTTCTCACCGTTTGTTGCATAATCCAGTCCACTACAATCGATTATATCATGGATGATAGTGGGCAGCCTTGTTTCACTCCTGTCTTCACTTCACTTCAAAAGAATCACTGAGCTTCCCATTGTGAATTACTTGGCATGTGGCGTCTTCATGTAGTTGTTGAATGTGGGTGATAAAGGTTTGCGGTATTCCGTAGTAATAGAACAGTTCCCAAATTACCTATCGGTTGACGCTGTCAAAGGCCTTCTCAAAGTCGATAAAGTTGACATAGAGAGAGAGAGAGAGAGAGAGAGAGAGAGAGAGAGTTGACTGCCATTCTATACTCTGTTCTATGATGATGCGTAGCGTCACATTGCAATTCCATCCACACATCGTTTGTTCTTCCTGAAGCCTGCCTGTTCGGGTCGTAGTTTTGAATCTAGCGCATCCTTTAGTCTCTCCAAGATGATGCGCCCTAATATTTTGCTTACGATGGATAGGCGTACGATTCCTCACCAGTTCTTGCAAACAATTAGGTCTCCCTTCTCTGGAAGTTTGAAAAGATAGTCTTTCTTCCAATCAGCGGACCGGGTTCCTTTCCTTCCTTTCTCACAAACCTTCTGCAGTAGTGGTGTGAGTATGTCCACTCTTGTCTCTGCATCTGTCTTGAACGCTTCTGGTGTAATTTCGTCAGGTCGTGCTGCTTTCCCGCACTCCAGTAGCTTTATGTCGTTCAGGACTTCCACTTTTGTTGGAGGATTTATGTTCAATCGTAGTTCTGTGGCTGGGCTGCAGGTGGTATTTCTAGATGAAGTGCAGGTGGTGGTCGATTCAACAGCTTTTCGAAGTGGTCAGCTCATCATTTCATTTGTTTCTCTTCTCTAGTAATGAAATTTCCATCATCATCTATTATTCGTTTCATCTGTGTTGATCTCTTCCCAGATAGAAATTTGGTTATTTGATACACTGTCGTCAAGTCTCTCCTACCTGCAGTCTGTTCTGCTTCACTTGCCAGTGTGTCGTCGAAGTGTCATTTGTCTTTCCGTGCACGCTTCTTCACTTCTTTGTCCAGTGTTTTATACATTGTACTCAGTTCCTCTTCTCGTTGAGCATCCTTGCACTGATTCATCTTCTGCTTCACCGTCCTCCTCTCCTCTATCAGCTTCCATGTGTTCATCGAGATCCATTCCTTGTCTTCTTTCTTCTTACTTCCTAATATGGTCTTGCAGGCTTCTTTCCACATCCCTTTCAAAGACTTCTAGTGTTCTTCCACTCAGGTTTCTTCATAGATGTTGCTCGATATCTCGCATTTTGTCTTGATGTCTGACTGATGTGAAGATTTCCTTTGTAGTTTCGTCCTTCAGTTACTGTCCTGGGTGTTGTACTTAAACTGTGATCTGTCACCAGCTTCCTTGAAGGCTTTCAACTTGACTTAGAAGGTTCCTTGCACTAGATAGTGGTCTGAGCCTACATCTGCTCCTCTTCTTGACCCTATGTTAAGTAAACTGCGCCTCCATTTTCTTGAGATTGAGATAACGTTGATCTGATTTTTAGTGAAGTGTGTCCATCCGATGAATGATGAAATCTATATCGCTTTGTGGATGTCCTTGTGCTTGAACACACTGCCTCCAATCACCAAATCATTGTATGCACAGAATTCTGCAAACAATTTTCCATTCTCGTTCATTTCACCCAGTGCTCCTCGACACATGGTGAGTTTTTGCCTGTGTTGTCTGCCCCCAGTTTGGCATCCATGTCGCCAACTGGAATGGCGTCTTGTCTAATACTGATTGCAGTTGTCTGTAGAATGCCTCCTCCTCCTTCTCTTGCTCTGCATTATTTGTAGGTGCGTAGCATTTGTAGCATTTGTAGCATTGTATGACTGTGACTTTCCTTCCCTTTGAGTTGAATCCATCCTGCTGTCATGATCCTGAGTGAGCAGATTGGTTCTCACTGCTTGAGAGAGAGCCTTCGGAGCTGTTTGGGACATCATGATAGCGACTACAAAACTCAATGTGCTCGTGGTTGTTGTCTGGGTGACAATATCGAAGTAGGTTATTGACTCCTCTCCAGTTGATAGTTTGGAGAGTCCACTTCCATTCTATCTACTGATTCTCCACAGATTCCAAACACTTCCATGCCATACCTTCTCATCTCTTTGGTAATCTGGGCAGCCTTGTCAGGAAGCTTCAAATAATGTGTGGACATTCCATGTCCTCATGTTTACTTTCGCTTTCATCGGGAAAGAGGAGACACATCAGCCGACTGGCTTTCTGAAGGCTTTCACCAACCAGCGTCATTTCGCCTCTCCGATTCCTGTGAGGAATAATTTTGTTTTTACCTTTTATATTTTGTTTGTACTTTGAAGTTTCTTCAGCGGTTGGATTTGTTTTACGGGTTGCTAGCCCTTTGCCCAACCTTCCCTCTTTACCCGGGCTTGGGACTGGCTAGCAACTAGTTAACTGGTTAACCAGGCGAGGTTCGGCTGGCTGCATATTAACATTTATTCGATTTGGAATGCGATCATTAAATACTTCATTCAGGTCTTTGTATTTTATGAGTACCTTCATAATTGTTCTACGCATTTCCAGACGAGTGGCATAGAATATCAACTTTTCACCTTTTCTTCTCCAGTGACGTTCTATACTATTTTTACGGTAGAAACAGCCATTTTTTCATGTCGTATAGTTCTGCTGATTGGCTTTGCATTAGCGTTGAAGTCTAAATACATGTTGCTAAACTGAAGGATAATTTAGTCGGTTATGAATATTTAGAGATTGAAAGTGAAGATCACTGATGCTTCCTGGCAACAGTTTACATTTATTCACGAACTGTTTTGCTTAATGCTGCAAATTTCATTTGATTTAGGTACTCTTGGAGCAGTTACACTGGGTGCTCAGGCAATAGTATTTCAAATCCAGTCATTAATATACATGGTAAGCTGTCTACCATTATCCCTTTGTACTGCTTCTTGTATCTTTAGTCTTATTGCTTTATCACATCACATTGTATTCATGTTCTATTTAACAATAGGGAATAATATAAATTCACATATTCCCGGAAAAGGTTTGGTATATGTATTGCTAAGAGAGTAATTAGTAGTCTTTTAGAAGCAATAATATGAAATGAATTTATCAATGAGTTGAGGTATTATGAAAATGATTGTAAAGAAGAAGCGTCTTTTCCAAAAACTAAGCTGCGTTCCACAAGTTATTACAGTAATATTATTTCACCGTGCAATTTACCGAGAAAACGAATCAACACCAAAGTTCTTTCACCTAATTCGATTAGCACACTGCCTCTTAATTAGCAGCTCCATAGTATCTGTTATGCATTGGTTCAACAAGGATTAAATCACAAGATGCTTAAATTTATCACTAGTATTTGCCACTTCACTACCTTTTTAGAGTCTAGTTTTCCTTATCTTACAACAAGTAATGAGGACGTCCTTCTTAGCTATTTATGAAGTCCGATCCCTTTGGGTTAGTGTTTGATAAGTAATGCTTTAAGTTCGGTAGTCACCATTGCCTCAAAAGTCTTTGATACGAAAACACGACCGGTCTGCTTGGCATGACAAAGTGCCCCTATACCTTCTTTTAAATTCCGTTGAGAATTAAAACAATCTGCCTGAATGATACATAGAATCTCTGTTAATTCAGCTTCAGACTGACTCTGAACTTTTTTCTAGAATGAAACTCGAAAGCAAACCCTTCGGGGCATTATCAATAAATTGGACATGGATTACACTCTAATCAGCGAATTATTCACCTTTATTTTTTAGAATATTGGAAAATACGTTGTCTGTAAATTCAGCGATACACCTCCTTTGTCTGTTTTCAGTCATGAAAAGCGTCAATGTAAAGCGGAAATATTAAGTGGTTGGCGGTAGTCGGCTGAAGTTCCTGAATCTACGGACCAACTTGAAGGAGTTTGAGTCGACAGATCGAAAACGATTCTCCCAGGGTTGAACTTATACCAAGATAACCAGTGCTTAAACCTTAGATTCAGGGCTTTCTATCGATTGCCTGAAACCAAGGAACAGTAATCAAACTGCACCATTGTGGTGGTCTGCTAGGTATGCGATTAAGCTGGAAAAGGTGATTTATAGAAATCATAACCAAGTAGCATGCAGCTAGTTACTCTCTAGTGACCTTTCAAGATAAAAGGGACAGGTTTTAGTTTTTCGCCATTCAGAAGACAGAATTAATAATTTCACAATAGTTTTAGCTAAGGAACATATCTACTTCTCAGTATACATATCAATTCAGTTGTTCGCACTCTTGATGGGAAACAAAACTGATATGCTGGAAAGACTAAAGAGTTTCTCTTAAAAGGGTTTATGATGTGATTTAAAATCTTCAACAAATTACTTTTCAAAGTACGATGATCATACATTCTCAACAAACAGAATATATATAAAAATGCAACCTAATTAACTAGTTCACTGGTTACTAGCCGGTTCGCAGCCCGCATAAAGAGGCAAGATTGGGCACGTGACTAGCAAACCAACCCCTACCCAGTGAAACCAATCCAATCGCTAAAGGAACTTGAATGCACAAAAAAAATATAAAAACGAAATTAAAGTTGTTCATCGCTGAAATCGAGGAGACGGAATGACGCTGGTTGATGAAAGCCTTCAGAAAGCCAGTCGGCTGATGTGTCTCCTCTTTCCCGATGAAAGCGAAAGTAAACATGAGGACATGGAATGTCCACACATTATTTGAAGCTTCCTGACAAGGCTGCCCAGATTACCAAAGAGATGAGAAGGTATGGCATGGAAGTGTTTGGAATCTGTGGAGAATCAGTAGATAGAACGGAAGTGGACTCTCCAAACTATCAACTGGAGAGGAGTCAATAACCTACTTCGATATTGTCACCCAGACAACAACCACGAGCACATTGAGTTTTGTAGTCGCTATCATGATGTCCCAAACAGCTCCGAAGGCTCTCTCTCAAGCAGTGAGAACCAATCTGCTCACTCAGGATCATGACAGCAGGATGGATTCAACTCAAAGGGAAGGAAAGTCACAGTCATACAATGCTACAAATGCTACAAATGCTACGCACCTACAAATAATGCAGAGCAAGAGAAGGAGGAGGAGGCATTCTACAGACAACTGCAATCAGTATTAGACAAGACGCCATTCCAGTTGGCGACATGGATGCCAAACTGGGGGCAGACAACACAGGCAAAAACTCACCATGTGTCGAGGAGCACTGGGTGAAATGAACGAGAATGGAAAATTGTTTGCAGAATTCTGTGCATACAATGATTTGGTGATTGGAGGCAGTGTGTACAAACACAAGGATATTCACCAAGCAACATGGATTTGATTTTACCAAAGGGACACAATACAAATCAGATCGACTTCATCTCAACGTGAAGGAAGTAGAGATGCAGCCTATTGGACACAAGATCAAGAAGGTTAGCAGATGTAGGTTCAAGTTAAAAGCCTTCGAAAATGTTGGTGATGATACACCATCTGTTGAAGTTCAACACCCAGAACAGAAACTGAAGGACGACACTACAATAGACATCTTCACATCAGTCAGACATCAAGACAAAATGGGAGACATTAGAAAACACTACTAAAGGATCTGACTTAGAAGAACATTGGAACTCTTTGAAAGCTATGTGGAAAGAAACCTGCACATCCGTATTAGGAGGGAAGAAGAAAGGAGATTAGGAATGGATCTCGATGAACACATGGAAGCTGATAGAGGAGAGGAGGACGGTGAAGCAGAAGATAAATCAGTGCAGTGCGGGATGAACAATATAGACAGGAACTAAATGTAACCCATAAAACATTACACTGGACAAAGAAGTGAAGCAGAACAGCCTGCAGTTAGAAGAGACATGACAAGACTATGTCAAATAACCATAATACAACCTGGTAGGAAAGAGATCAATGCGGATGTAACCAGTGAGAGATAGTGAAGGAAACCTCGTCAACACGAAAGAGGAGAAACAAAGGAAATGATGGGCTTACCATTTCAAAAAACTCTTGAATCCACTACCACCATCATCACCACTACCACCTAAAACTCGTCCAGAAATGTCGCTAGCAACCACAGAACTACCAGTGAACACAAGCCCTCCGACAAATGCAGAAGTTAAGTCCTGAATGACACAAAACTGCCAAGTTCGGGAACGCAGCAGGACCAGATGGAACTCCTCCAGAAGCAATGAAAACGGATTCAGAGACAAGAGTGGACATACTCACACCACTACTGCAGAAGGTTTGTGAGAAAGGAAGGAAAGGAACCCGGTCCGTTGACTGGAAGAAGGGCTATCTTATCAAACTTCCATGGAAGGGAGACCTAATTGTTTGCAAGAACTGGTGAGGAATCATGCACCTATCCATCGTAAGCAAAATATTAGGGCGCATCATCCTGAAGAGACTAAAACATGCTGTGGATTCAAAATTACGACCGGAACAGATGTGGCTGGCTGGCTGGCTGACTCGCTAGTATCAGGAAGAACAAACGATGTGTGGATTTAATTGCAATGTGACGCTACGCATCATCATAGAACAGAGTATAGAATGGCAGTCAACTCTTTACTTTACCTCAACTGCATCGACTTTGCAAAGGCCTTCAACAGTGTCGACCGAGCGGTAATTTGGCAGGCAGCTGCAGCTACTTCAACGCTATGGTTTTAGTGTCACAAACCTTTATCAACGTCATTCAGCAGCTCTATGCTTTATGATGCTACATGCCAAGTGATTCACAATGGAAAGTTGTTCAGTGATGCCTTTGAAGTGAAGGCAGGAGTGAGACAAGGTGGCCGCCTACTATCACCGATGATCTTCCCAATTGTGGTCAACTGGGTGTTGCAGCAAACCGTGAGGAACGAGAAGGTGGGCATATTTGGAACAATTAGTTCCTTTAATTAATTTTGATAACGCTATTAGAAGACGAAGATTTTCTGAAAAATGTGATGTATTTGCGCAATACATTTCGAACAATCTGATCACACATTTACTCGTCAAGTCAATTTATATATGAAAAGGAACGGTCAAATATAGTGAAAATGAAAAGGTTGTGACACTATTCTTGGTAGTCTTGGATTACCAAGGTAAATTAAGTGAAACAACAAATTGTTTTTGTACACAAAGCGGGGGATTAAGTTTACGAATGGCTAACGCTTCGGCAAACTTCAGTATGCGCCCCTGATTATTCCTGTATAATATCTTGAAGGCTATTTTCGTATTAACCCTGTGATTCATTTCAATAATATGTTTTGCTATAGATGACGATGGATGTCTGACACCTGCACTTATAAAAGTCTGTGTGTTAAACTGTTTTTCTAGCCATTTGGGTATGTGTTCACCCACCCTAGTCTGCATTGAACGATTACCCCTCCCTATGTATGTGTGCCCACACATACATGTAAATTGGTAAACACAATGGGATCTGACGTAATTATTTGTGCGAGGTTGAGGTTTGTGGTGAAGCAGGTGTTTTGTCGTCTCAACAATGATAAGCTGAGCTGCATAGTATGTTTTACTGATAACAGATTTTAATCTCTGCTTCAATATCAAACTACTTGTTTCCCCTCTTTATAATACTTTAAGAAATATGCTTTTCTTCGGGACCGAGGAAACTATAGGCTTTGTGGTCAGCTGGTTTTTACAGTAGTTGACAAACTGTAACTGTAACAAACAGTAACAGAGTGTCTGTCAGAAACTTATTCTCATCATCCATCGTATCATATGTACAAATACATTGGATTCTATTGAACAAGCATCTTACCAAGCCTCTCTTATATTTCATCGGACAAAAACTATGGAAATTCAAATACTGTCCTGTCCAAGTAGGCTTCCTATGTATTGATCGTCTTATAGATCCTCCATCTTCCTTCCGACACAAGAGTATATCAAGAAATGCAAGTTGATGGTCTTTTTCTTCTCCACATGTCAGACTGATATGATCTTGTACGGTATTAAACCTTTTTAACAACCTCCTGGCATCTTCATCTGTGTCACATATTACAAAGATATCATCCACATACCTTCCATAGAGTGTGACATTGGTGATTAGATCTTGAGTCATTAGTTCAGTATGTGACATACATACATCAGCTTTTCATTTTCACTATATTTGACCTTTACTTTTCATATATAAATTGACTTGACAAGTAAATGTGTGATCAGATTGTTCGAAATGTATTGCGCAATTACATCATGTTTTTCAGATGGGCATATGCTTTTTGATCGATGAGAAGACTCTAGAAGATTCGGATTTCGGATATATATATATATATAGCCCTTGAGGGTTGCTTGGTTCCTTGAGAACGGAAAGAAGTGGTAAAAGCGATAAAAGTTTATTGTTAAGTCAAATATGTAGAAAAAGTAACGGTTTGTACATGCTTTGATGGCCTTGGCAAGTTCTAAACTGTTCTAGAAAGTCCTTCAGGCAATCGGAGATACTTATGATCCCTTTTTTTCATGAATGTCTAGCATACCATGATTGGCTGTGAAGATTTTCCAGTGAATTTCAGCCTTCTTTGAGGAATCTAGGTGATATTGTCGCACTCTGTAACACAAAGGTATGAAATCTAGTTTTAAAATGGGCTTAGAAACGGCATCTTTCTCAATTAGGTAATGACTGCAGTAAACTGAATGTGTTGTGACAAAGCACAAACTGATCTGAGTGGTCAGAGTGCTGAAGCTGATGTCAATGGTTAGACAGTGAAATATCAACTCAGGTGAGCCTAAATACAGTGAAACTAGTTTAGGTGTATGAATAGAGTTGATGAAAATTCTGTTCGAAGTTTTGGTGAGTAAAATGTTTATGTTCACACAAAGAATCATGATATCTACAATATTCACAGTTAACTACTTTGGAGAAGTACCCGGTTATTTTCTTTCTATTTTCAGTCAGTTTTTTAATGTTGTCGGGATAGTAGGGAGGTATGGTAAAAGTGCAGTGATTTATCAAAACGTCTCAACTTATTGAGAATTCGAATCAATGTGACTTATAGCAAGTATCCCAGAGTATTTCAAGCTTCTTATTTTTCATTAGTATTGAATTAATATCATTTACTTTGAATTGCAACGCAGATTCCACTTGGACTGTTCACCGCAGTAAATATTCGTGTTGGTCAGAAGCTTGGAGCATTTGACCCTGTCGGGGCTCGAAATGTTTACCTTACTGCATTGACAATAGTGTGTAAGTTATTATTGCTCGTTCATGCAAATATCAGATAAAGGAATATATCACGTTCTTAAGATTTACGGTTCTATCACATAGAGATAGGTCGTACCCAATTACTATCTGAAGGTGTAATTCTTTCGTTGAGCAGAAAACTGTTATTAATATAAGCGTAAAACTTGGTCACTTTAATAGAATGTAATTCTATGTTAGAATTGTTGACTCGGTGTACAGAATACAGTAATACACCATTATTTAATTGATGACGTTTGGACCACAATCTATTGCTCATAATCATATCAATGTAGTCACACAACTACCAACATCTGATTTTTATAGTTTCATCACATCATATTCTTTTTTATGTGGTAGTGAGATTTTCCATATCTCTGGTGTACGTGTGGCGTCATTTCTATTAAATATGTTGGGTGTAGATTCGATGGACAAAAATTCAGTCATCAATTTCTCTCTCTCCACCTTATTTATTATATTTGACATAAGTTGGGTGGTTTTATCCCATCCCATTGTATGATTGTGCGTTAATGCAAATATTGCAATAGCCAAGTGTTTTTCAAGATTTTTGATCTTATTCGTGTCTGTCGTTCTATATTTAATTGAATTTCTACGTCCCACTAATCTAACTGACTAGAACCGGGCCAGTCGGTGGTTGTTGTTTGCACAAGTGGACAATTGAAGCCCATTATCCTACATATTCTAGGTTATAAAGCAATTTTGTTGTGTGTATCCTCTGGTAGTTCACATCAAGGAAGTTGGATCAGGGTTTAAATCTGAAACAATTCCATTTTTATTGACTTATTAGATTTATCACACAGTGTAACAGTATTGTTTACTGGATTACGTTTCGGACATAATTTATTGTCCATAGTCATATCAAGATAACTACACAACGTTGAGATATCCTTAATAGTCCTAATTTCCTCTTCTCTTTGTGAGATGGACAGTAAATTTTCCACATATCCGGAACAGGTGCTGAGTCATTCCTGTTGCATGTGTTAGGTGTTAATTCGACAAACAAAGATTCAGTTATCAATCTCTCCCTCCACACTGCTATGTTAGTTTTAAGAATTTTCACCCTGTCCCATCCTATTGTGTGGTTGTGTGTACTTGCATGCATAGCTATGGCTGAGCTTTTTTCTAAATTCCTTACTTTACTAGGATCTACCACTTTTGACCTAGCTAAGTTTTTGTGTTCCAATAGCCTAATTGATCCTAGTCGACTACCTTGACCTATGCATTTGACCTCGCAATCGTTGCAAGGGATTTGGTCAACTAAGTTATTCTGCCTAACTGGGTCAATAGGATCTTTTAAGCTACAAAGCTTATTTCGAAGTGTTGGTTTAAATGCCACTCCAATCCCAGCCAGCCTTATTGAAAATTCTACGTAGTGTTTCTGAGGTGCCTTCTTTGTATGGGAATACTGTGGAGGTTCTGAATTCTCTATTCACAGTATTGCCGCTACTATTATTAACATCGTTATCAACATCATTGCTACCATTACTGTTGTTATTATTACTTCTATTAATAACTGTGTTGCTGATATTTTTCCTACAATTCCTAAGGAGCTTATCAATTAATTTGGCAGGGTGATTGTAGATGATAAAGGCGTCTTTAATGTATCTGGTTTCTTGTTTTAGATCTTCTGTTCTACTAGTAAGTATTTTGGCCCTGTTACTAAGACACTTCACTAAGCCAACTTTAACTGACATAGGGCAAGACGATTTGAAGTTTAAGTATTGGTTTGAATGTGAAGGTTTTCTGTAGACACTAGTGTCTAAACTCCCATCTTGTTTCCGTTTCATTCGGCAATCCAACATCGCTAATTCTCCTTCACTATTTTCTAATTCATAGGTGAATTGGATTACATCGACCACTGAATTCATATATGTGAAGAAATTATGTATGTGTTCCGATTTCAACACCGTAAACGTGTCGTCTACATAGCGAAACCATATTTTTGGAGCTGGACTAAGTTTTTCTACAGCCATCCATTCCCAACTATCCGTAAATATGTCAGTCACAATAGGGGATATTGGTGATCCCATGGCAACTCCTTCTGTTTGTTTGCATATTTTATTCTGAAAGCTAAATATTGTGGAAGTTAGGCATAGCTGTACTCCTGGCATGATATCATCTATTGATACCTCAGTTCGTAGTGTAAGCTCGTGTTCATTATTCAGCTTGTTTCTAACTGCTTCCATGGCCATATCAATCGGTATTTTGGTATACAAACTAACTACATCAAAACTAAGCATTTTTTCATCATGATCTAAATGTATATCATCTAATTTAGGCATTCAAGTCATAAGAGTTAGTAAGTCTTGATATAGAACGGTTCCTAATTGAGTTTAGTACCATCGCGAAATATTTAGATAAGTCATAGGTAGGAGTGTTTCTAAAGTCTACTATAGGTTTCTTAATTTCTTCGTAGGGTCCTATTTTCTATATGTTTCTTGACTTTCTAAATATAATCAGACTTGTTTAACACCACTGTTGCGTTGCCTTTGTCCGATATAGCAATTAATATATCCTTGTCATTTCGAAGGTTCTTCAAAGCTTCTTTTTCTGGTTTTGGTAAATTTGATTTGTTTTCTCCTGTCTCTTAGGTGTAAGAGCATATTGTGCTCGAACTTCATCTGCTACCGTCGTATCTACTGAACTTGGTACTGTTTCAGTTTTAAGAATGACATCTTCAGGTTTCAATTCATTAATTGCTACATTGAAGTTAAGCCCTTGTCTAGTACCTTTTGCTTCTGCTTACCAAAAATTCTTCACACACCTTTTGTCGTGGTTTGTTTTATTGTCAAAGTCTGTGATGAACTAGATATTCAGTGTGTAAATTGTTGTTTAATAAAATGAGGTGATTACCTTTGTCTCTATTAATATGTTATTTCATGAATGTTCTGAAGATTCGCTCGGGTCTTCACTAGTTTACTAGAATCTTAGAAATGTTGCGTCGTTGAACACCAGATGCTTGGGAAATAAATCGCACCCTGGCAAGGAGATATAAAGGGGTAACATGGAGGTTCAAATACTTGCGTGACTTAGGTTTCCTTTCGACTTGAGTCGTCATCTGATTAGAATGAAAACATTCTGTCACATGGAGGGTCTCTCAAGTTAGGGAATCAATAATAGGTATGAACATATCTTCCATATATGTGATTTATACCTTTATTTAATTATTTTTCTGGCAGCTGTAGTGGCCATATGCACTGGTTTACCTGTTATACTTTTACGAAAATACATCCCACATATGTTTACATCAGACGAGTGAGTTGTATCTTTTGTATTTTAGCTCATATAATTCAGGTACACCCTGATTTATAATGTTTGGAAAAAAACTTGAAAAATATTGGCAGTGTTTGCAATTAAAATGTAAAGAATTCAGAACGATTTAGGAATTGTCACACGTCTTGAATCGAGGAAAAAATCTAAATGTCGTCAGTAAACTTGTACACACTCTTGCAGTAGGGATTGATCTACATCCATTGTTTGGCCGCAACTGATACTAATTAGCTGCTTAAACCTCGGTAGTTGGAGTGGTGTTCGACAGTTGAGCATTTGGGACTAAGGTCAACTGTGTAAACGAATAAGCCATAACTTTGCAAAATACAGTATACACTTAGATCTATCCAGAAGTAATTGCCTGCAGCTAATAATTTAAAGGTTTATGATTTCTGTGTCATAGTGTAAGTTTATGTCTGTGTAAGACCTGGTTAGATATTACAATAACCAAGGTTAGACATACTATTAGGAAATGCTTTAAGAAGGAATGCTCAATACAATAACCAGACGGGTACGAAGAGGGTATATCGATCTACATGAATATTAAAAAGCAGTGAAGCGTCGTGACATATCTTCACATATATCAGTGCATACAGACAACTATGGACATAAACTTGACTGGGAAGATTCGGAAATCCTGGAATGGAAATACAAAGACCTCTAGAGAAATCCTGGAAGCTCGGGATTCAGGTCCATCAGAGATCAGCAAACATTAACCTAATCTGCCAACCAATAAAAAAACAGAAAAAGGGTCAGTATTTGCGTCGGGGGGATAACCAGTCGGAATATATATGGAGACAGTGATAAGACTTTTGCAGAAACAGCCAATCACACTCAAGGTCACTGGGACAAGCTACTGAACAACTTTTGAAGGAAAACCCAGTAGCTCACTTCTTCCCAGAGTTTGTAATGATGATGTTGTCTAGGATGTTTATGAAGGCTTCACGATTAAACCACCCAGCTGAGAGAACACTACAGTACCAAATAGCATTGAATTTTCAGCTTACAATTTTGCTGTGTAACTTAACCAACCGACTGATATTTGTGCATTCACTATTGAATTTTCTTGACGAATGTGGAGCGTGATTTATATATGTATATACATATATATGCAAAACCCTTGTTTATATTTCCAAAAGCTAATATCTAATAGTGTTTGCAACAATTTTTTTCAGAAATATCTGCTTACTGGCTAGTAAACTTATGCCAATGCTTTTGATTTTTCAATTCTACGAGGGGTTTGCTGTGAGTATATCGTTAGCATTTAGAAGTCATTTTTCCTTGTTAAATAGTGTCGCAAACCTAAACATTATCTATTATCTATACTTTTACCATGACCTGTTTGGAGTTAGAACGATTCTCTAGGAGTTAATAACTTTTTAGCTAAGTTATTTTGTCTATATTTTTGATGAAACGTAGACATTTAGATGTCGTAAGCCCGACAAATGACAGTTCAGTACTGACGTGGCACCTACTTTGACTAAGCTGGATGCTTCATAACTTTCTTATTCATATTTACAGCATTCAAGACTAGTCTATATTTCGAGTATCTCTACCTTTTTTTATTAGACTGGATAATACTGTCATTTCATTTGAGGCATAGATATTTCTGAAAGGTAGGGGACAATATGTACCTTCTCGTCTCATTTAGTGGATGCTTTAGGAAATATGGTATGTATGCAATCTTAGTCAAACAAGATTTTCTCGATTATTCAAGTTTAAGTAAATGTAGTAAACAAATGGGGATAAATAAGGATAACTATTTCACAGAACAAGTAACATTGTATTCGGTTATCTCGAATGCCTTGAGATATCTAATCAAAGCTTAACATTAATTTGAATGGTTTATAATTGCTAGGTTTTCTATGTGCAATATTTTATTGAGCAGCTTGGTAAATTGATGTCTGTCATTAAAAACTCAGTCAGTATATGGTTCCTATTCACTATTTTCAACCAAGTTACGACATATTTACCTTTCACATATATTTCTTGTTCTTACGCGTGCTGTGATTTCCCTCCATTAGATAACGTGATATATGAGATTTCTTCTTTCTCTAGCAAAAACTTGATCGTTTTCTTATCACACCAACTACGAATCATCAGGGAAAATACGACTGATTTGAAGAGATTACTACCTAATTTTCATTTTATGTGGTAGGATAAACCTAACTCTTCGTTGTATGCTGGTATACGTCGTATCGACTAAAAGCAGGAGTCTGTTGTGTTACTATTTTCTCTGGAAATGATCAATCACTCAAATAATCATTCTGATAGTTATTTAAGTATTAAATTCACACTTGTGGTTGCAGATACAGCTATCATTTTCCACTAGTAAAAAGGAAACTTAGAAACATTGTGAATAAGTTGAAGTAACTGGTCTTTTGAGTTCACTTTATTTTGACGAATCAACAAGTACATTACATATTTTAGTGGTTTCACATTTCTTTGAATACATATCAGACAATGAAGCTGGAAATATTTTGTTAGTACCCGAAAGTTAAAATTAATAAAAAAAGCTGAACACTTCAGAACAATAAAAAAACTGTCGGTTGATAGAAGAATGACTGCTTTTTTGGCTTCAGTTACATAACAGCTTACTAGTAAAGAGGTTTCACGCTATATAGCAAAATTGGTAGCTGAAGCAATGTTACTAACTGATACTGTTTTATAAGCAGGCTACTTAAATGCCTGTAAGTAGCTCATAGTTGTCTTGTTTAATTTATAGGTATTGTCTTCATTTTGTGAATATCTTTATTTATCAGCCGAGTGGGGAAATGGTGTCACGGATAGGCACACTTATTGGATTTGATAGGGATATCATCACGAATACGGTTAATATAAAAGCAGCATTCTTTTAGTTGTCCACAATCAATAAATGGACATGAAGTTGAACCTACAGATATATCCGAGTGAAAATAAAAGCAATAAATATTCTGTTCGAAGTTCATATGCATCAAGTGAAATATCCTAAGGAAAGATGATGGGGATGTTTTGTAATCTTTATTATGGTTGGTATTCATTACACACCGGCATCAACTGGAGGGACATTGGTAGTCTGGAAGCACTGGTCGTGTGGTTCGTCCTAATACGGGAGTCCTCAGCAGTGCGCACTTATGACATTATCAGGGATCGAGCCCGGAAGCTTGGGGTTCTGCGATCGGAATGTTGTCACTGAGCCACTGGGTCGGAATCCATTGGTCTATATTTACTACTTCTGTCAGTGGGACCAACCAAGTTGAACATGAGAAACGATACTCAACGACGGCGTTGGATGGAGGTCACGCTATATCATGAACTAACAGAAGTAGAAAATATGGACCCTTGGACTCCTATTCAGTGGCTCAGTAGTAGCGTGCCGGCCACGAAGCCTGTAGGTTTTGGATTGAATCCCCGGTGGGGCCATGAGTGCGCACAGGTAGGGAGCCCCATACCAGGACGAAACAGCTGTCCAGTACTCCCAGGTTTCCAACATTTCTCCACTTGATGTCAATCCACGGTGAATACCACCCTGAAATCAATAAATCCCCTCAAACCTCCAAACTGAATCCGTACTCTTTGAAGTGAAGTATTTTTTGTTAGTAATAGCTCAAACTGCATAAGATATTTATGCTTGGTAGTGGCTAGTTGGGGAATCCAGAACGCATGTTTCATCTTAGTTGGTAATTATAAGCGGAATGCATCTTTATTACAGTGAGTGATGGTGCTCTTGCTGAGGTCCTACGAAACATGATACAATAACTAGACATGTGTTCAAGAGACGCGTATGAAAGCAAAGTTCAGTCAGTTAGATTTATCATCACAATCAGTGGGAAATCACGAACATGAATGAAGTATAAAATGTAGTCCAAAACAAATCCAGGGGAAATTATTTTGCAACCTGTTCTTGACTGAATATTAGGAGTCAGTGTTTAAAGTTCTTTCAAACTCAGCCCAAACTGGCATATCCTTGGTTGACAAAAGCCCTAGTAAAAATGATTCTGAGATAAATATTCATGCAGTGGTAAATATTTTAAGATGTTTTCAGTGGTATTAGAAGCAATTCTGAAGAACGTTTATGATATCTGTTGTTCATTATGACATACTGATGGGAGTATAATAATGAACGTTTAAAATATCGTTGTACATAGGTCGAATTCAAATCGTTTACTCTTTATCCTATGAATCTGACACAAAACAAAGGAACTGGAAACTATTCCTTGTAATCAACAAAATATATTTAAAGTATCTTTTTTCTTACGCTAGTCTGTATTGTCGCATAATCAGGTTTATGTAATAATTTTTTTGTTGAACCAACAAGTACTTATCTAATATAATCTTTGGTTTCATAACTGGTCATTAATCATTTATCTACCGAAATGGTTATTTCATAACCCAGCTGTCATTATGTCATCAAAAAAGTTATCAGTTCAGTGTAATAGTCTAAACTTGTTTTTAAATATATCTAAGATGTTGCTTCTATTTTCTCAGGGAGTGTCTGAGGCTGTTCTGTTAGCATGTGGACGACAAATTTTGGGAGCTATAACAATATTTTGCGGCTATTATTGTATTGGAATGCCGATTGCTATGATACTTACTTACAAGACATCTCTTGGCATCTTAGGTAAGGTAATAACAAATAAATATTAAAAACTTTTTGATATGTCTTAAAATTATGTATTCTTGATAACTGTTTTTCAGTAGTTAAATAAATCACCTAAAATTTCACGCAAACATTCATCGAAAAAGCTCAAAGGTTAATTATCTCATCCCACCGATTCGTTTTGTGTTCTACATATATAAGTGAAACATTTTGATGTATCTAGTGAAAATACAATTTATCAGCTTTTGTCAGTCTTTTAATTGTCTATGCAGTGAAATGTCCACTTAACATTAACAAAAACAATTTGACTATAGTACCACATGGGACTGTTTCTATTTAGCTTACCACTTTCTGTTATATTTGTTATGTACATGTATTCGAGCTTAGTTCAATTCAGAAATCACGGTTTTTTATTGAATTCTGAGATAACTTACATCAGCAGCTGATATTAATAAAATGAATATTAGAATACAGAGAGTATTTGAGACAATACGTGTGTGATAAGCTAATAATCATGAAAAAGTTTACAGTGAATAATTGAAAAAGTTTATCATCAACTTTCTGTTACCTGTTGTTAGGAAAATGACTATTTTCATGAATTTAGTATGGATAAAGTCAGTTAGCGTGTTGACAAGGCATTCAGCCCTCTGATGAGCTAAGCGATTGAGTTTCAGTCACTAAATAACCTGACTATTTCTTATTCTGAAGTAAAGTCTATTGAAAATTAGTTGATTTTCTTGCAATTTCTGAGCTTAAAGTGCTGTTTATCTTCCCGGTTGAATCATGACACATCTGATGGTATGTTATAATGAAGTATCACTTGTGAAGCAATTTAACAAATGAGCACAACTTAATCGATCCGGAATTCTAAGCAGATTGTGTGATATTTAACTTAATTTTTGAACTATGCAACGAAAGTTATCCACATCACGCTAGAATGTAAGTCATCATGAATCTTTTTCAGTGTTGCTTAGATAGTTGGTGAAACGTGACTGATTGTTATAGTAGTCGTAATCTATTTGCAAATATACTAGATTTCATAGGGAAGTTGTTTTTTCAGGCGCATCAATGATTAGTTGACTGATAATCTACTGAGGTTAGATTTCAGCGAGAATTATTATCAGCAAAAGATTGTGGTGAATTAGAATATCCTAACGTTCTGGAGCTCACCTATTATTACATAGTTTAGTTGCTTACACTGAGGTTGTTATGTTTACTGATTTAGGAATTCGTATTGTTTGATGTTTTGTGAGGCATATGTCCTATTGCTTTTGTGAAATATGATCTTTGACTCAATTCAATTACTTTATAAGTAAGATATGAATGACAAGCTTTTAAGTGTGGATTGCATAACCCAAGGTAAACTACTAACAAATTGCTGTGAGTAGGAAAGATCAGATGAAGATACGCAATTTTCAGCGGAGTTTACAGCGCATAACTTTAAAGTTTAGTGCTTGAAACCAACCTATGCACTTGTTTTTATTTCATCAACTTTTAGTAATCTTCAAAACAATCACAATTTTGAAATCCATGCTATCCATTTGAATGATGGCTTTGTGAAAAGCCATTCTCATTTAGAACCTTAGTATTTCTTGTATTCGTGATGTATTCAAAAATGCTATCGTGACACTGGCAAGATGATGGTTAGTCCAGATTTCAGCTGTGCTTAGCACAGGAATCTTAGAGAAATCATATATTTAGTGATACAAGCCAGTGCCAACCAGTCTCTCCCTTATTTACTCCCACTGCTATTTTAGTCAAAATGTCAACATTCATCCACGAAACAGTGCAGTCGACTCCACAAAAATACTCAACTAACATGAGGATTTATAAAGCTCAGCTTAGCACACAATTACGTGAGAAGGTGCAACCACCTAAATACTGGGTGATGATTGAAAGTGAAATAAAAATTTTGTGCCAGGGTAGGGTTTGAACCAAACACCGTCTTTCTCAAAAAGGAAAAATGATAACATCGGAATACTTTATTGTAAATCATTTAATATTCAAGTAAATACTCACCAAAATGATAAATAGATTGGATCGGGATTTCTTTCGTTATATTTCAACAAATTTTACTGGTTTTTATTGTTAACGCAATAAGGATCCTGGATAGGTTTAGCCATTGGTTTTGGATTGACCACATCAATGTATACAATATTTGCTCTCAGAACAGATTGGGTCGAACAAGCAAGACAAGTAAGTTCACCAACAATTTTCTGGTGAAGTTACCAGAAATTCCATAAATTAATCAGTGTGTTATATTGTCTCTTGTAACCTGTATATCTTTAATCAATAGATATGTTGAAACTTATATTCATCCAGAAATTGACCTCTTCACTGAGATTTCTATTTCTGATGACTTAAAAAAGCCTTCCATGATAATATAAGGCAAAACTATCGCATTCAGAGAGTAATGCAACTAAAATCGGGTTCTATAAATGAATTAGCATATCTGATTGTAAACTAATTTATTTTTTTTGCAATTCGAAATACTCTGTTATTTAAACAGTATTAGAATTTTATAGAAATCAGCATTTGTCTTGAATTTCTAATGATGACCTCTGTGAACTGTTTATTTCATGAAAAAAAGTGCTCGGAGGTGCTAGAAAACAGAAAATTTAGTTTAATTTGAAGAATATGGGATCATAATTTAACAACCATTATTTTGGAAATTTTACACATCAATAAACACGAAAAAGTCAAATGTTTTATTAACGTAAGTTTCTATGGAACCAGATAGCCTTAAGATGAAACCCAGATACTCATAATTCACTCCTCTGAGAACTATTAGTCAGCTATAGTCGATTCGCCCTAAACCTGGTCATCAATTCAGGAGTCGGCAACATGGGTATATCTCTGACTTGGGGACCTTCCTAATCACTATGAAATGCAGAGCATGCATATGTATTTTCCCCCGGGCAGTAAATACGTATTTGTTTCGAATTAAATTATTAACTGTTGGGTAAAAATTCAGCTGAATAATTAGATACTGTTGTGTTTACTGCGTTTTAAACCCCACCAATTAGAATAAAACACGTGGAAAGAGAATCCTACTTTCTTCACTCACATCCGAATACAACTAGGCTTAAGCTGAATATATATGAGGGAAATGAGATTAGTTAAAGTTTTCAGCTGAGTTTGCTCCTCCACGACATGAATTAATTTTCTAACGATGGTTCCTTTAAATTACCGCTCAGATATACACGCTCACTAAGAAAGTCTGTAGCATCATATTGATCCAGCTTTTTTTCAACTCCTCTGTATTTCACCTCAAAGCTGACTGATAGCGTGTTTACTGATCTATGAGCTGTACATGCGGAAGAAAGAAATGTTGTAGGACCATTTGAACCCAGTGTACTTGTCGACAACTCGCTGTGAATTAGATATTCATTTCAGTAGGACATAAGGGAAGGAATGGTATTTTAATATATTCTAGAAAAATCATACTTTCAGTAGTTCCAACAAAGGATTTTAGGCATTTTCTCAAAATACACCGTAGTGGACCCCTTATGTTGAGAGTAAAGAATAATTTCATTGGCCTGATTAATTGTAGGCTAGAAGAAACATCACAGAAAGCCAGGGAGAGGATTTATTGAAGTATCCTCTTGATGAATTTGGATACAGGTCTTCAGTTGTAGAAAATCACGATGGTAAGTAATAAATAATACACATCTCTTATTCACCATTTTTGTTGTTCTTTACTACTGGTAAAGTTTAGATTTCCCATTTTTGCGTCGAAGGAGTCAAAAAACATAACGTAGCTATTTTGGGAAGTGTGAGTACTTTCGTCAGTTAAATATAACTTTATACCAATGCAGAATGAATGCAGAAAATAGCATAAGACAGTTGCAATAAGTAGTCAAGCAGTAAAGCAGCGGTCTGAAGATGTATATTATTTAGGTGCATCTGTAGTTCTTTGTCACATTCGAAAATAATAATTGGATGTAAACTTCGAAGATATTTTTTGAGGCAGGGAAGCTTGCTTCAAAGCATAATTTTCCACATAGGTCACACAATTTTGATAGATCACTATTTTCTTAGAATAGAATTTCTCTGTTAACTTATGGGATCACTTCGTCTAGCAGAAATACACCTGCTTCAGAAAATAGTTATGCACTATTTCGCTGTTAACTTATGTTGTAAGCAAATGTTTTCATATCCAATTAATGTCTGACAAAGTGATATTTTAGCCTCGACAGCAAGTGATTATCATCATCAATAATCCAACTTACTCTTCTGAGTTGACAATTTCTTATAAGTCAGTTCAGTTACATGTGTGACTTATTTATCAATCTCTGAGAAATATGTTGAGCTTTTAAATGTTTTTAATGAAGACAGTAAAACTAAACAGTGGCTTTTCTTTCAAATATTCATATTTTGTTCGTTAAAGATAATCGCTAGATTAGCGATGTTTGAAGTCTCCATGTTTATCGTGGTTTATTTCATGTATTCACACCAATCGTCAATACTTTGCTGATTGATTTTGTCTTTAAAATTCGTCCGACTGGACAAAAAGCTTCGATGTGCCAGTTCTATGTGCACTCGAATTTATTTATTATTTATTATTTTATTGGTCCCTTGGGTTCCTAGTGGAACATAGGGCTTCAGTAGCACGTCTCCAGTGACCTCTGTTCTCTGAGATCTTTTGAACCTGGTTCCACGACAGCCCAGAAGCTCGCATTTCCTCCTCGCACGACCTCCTCCATGTCATCCTCGGACGTCCAACTCGTCGCTTCCCATCTCGAATTTATGGTAGTTCTTAATTCTAAGTGTTGATTTCCGCTTCTAAGGTTTTGTCTTGAAATAAAGTGTTGTATTTATTTTTATTTTCAATTAGTTTCAGTAAAAGTCACTGATTTTTTCCTAAAGATGCATATTAATTTTACTCAGACATTATTTGTCATTCGTTTCTGCTCAGATATCTGGTTTTTAATCCATACGTTTAGCCGGCTTAGTCATCAAGTATGCAGTATTTAGCTATTGGGTTAAGATGTTGGAGAGAGTGTTCCGGTGTTTTTTTCTTTAATTTGTAGCTTCACTGCATGATTGCCTATCAGACACATGAATCTTTGAATGTGACTGAACCATCAGATTTAAGCTGTAAATCTGAGTAGTCACTCAACAGTATCTGTTATGTTCAGCATTAGTTACTCTTTTCTGAACAAAATGTTTACTACTTCTGGCGAAATGATTAAGAAAGCCATTAAAATAGTGTTTGTATTTGTTAATCTGCAGTGTGTATTTTCTACACATGAAACTAAAATTCGTATTTACTTTTTATGCATTTAGGCTCTACTGAATTTTATTGTTGTAATTTTATGTTGTTTCAGATTCAACAATATTTCATCAACTCAATGCCACTTCTATAAGTTCTGAAAATCTACTTCAGTACCAGCGAACTACTCCAAATTTGACAAATAAGCGCAATTCAAACGTGAAGCATTTAGTGCTGAAGATTTTTTTATTTTCTCTCCTCTTTACACTTTTTAGCGTATTACTGTATTTGCGTTTTCGGCGCTCACCTCCCTTATGGTACACACATTGCAAGCAGCAGATAGATCCTGTAAATGTATCAACGTTCTGTATTCGCATGATGCCATGGGACACTTCTAAACAAAGAGATATCAGTGAGATGAATTTAGGTCTTCCAATTGGTGTAAATTATACATTTGATACAACTATAGTACATTGAGCTGGTTCATCTACTTTCCACCCCTTCAGTTTTATACTGCTATCAGTGTTTTTAGTGAATAAGAAAAAGAAAAGCTCAACACATGCACAGATTTTGCTCACTTCTCTTTGTTACTGCTGATTTTTATTTTACGAGATTTTGTATTTTGGAAAATAACAGAGGCAGAGAAAAAATATTTTCACTTCGCTCATAACGATCTCTTGTATTATTGTTTATTTACCAGTGATTCATACACAGTTTATTTCAAATTAAGTATTTGTATAAAATTTAAAAGCAAGCAGACGGAATAATTTTTACGAAAATTAAAATTTTTTCCTGCAACTGATCAGGAGATTTGTGGGGAACTGATTAATTCTAAAGCAGTTTCAGATACCCAGAGAATCTGAATGCATAACTATTCAAAACATGAAGGTACTGGGCTGAAAGTGTGGATTAGTGGATGCCAACCTAGTATCTAATTGGAAACAGACTTTATCCTTTAACTAATGATCTATTGCTAGCATAAAGTAAGAACAAAAACATTTGCAGAGTGAAACGATCTCATTTACTGCATGACCTTCCATCAGCTATAAACAGCCTACAACTGAAATGCAATGTTAGTGGGGATAATTATATAATGGTACAGTTGAGGAAACCATCTACGTGAAAAATACGCGGACTGGCCAACACTTTCACTACAATAGTTTCTGTCCTATCAACTATAAGCGTGGTTTAGTTAGGATGCTTTTCACTAGAATAGGAAGACTGCTTAGAAAACAAACAACAAGAAGAATTCACTGAAACTGTGAAGACTCGTATACAGAAGGGATATCCGAAGAAATTCATCCCTTAGGATGGATAAAAATTTATTTAGAGACCTAAACATCCAGTTTTTGAGGAGAAACCTGTTTTTCTTCATCTAACATTCAAGAGCGGTTAGAATTCTGAAAGAACGGACAGAAGAATGGAAACTGGACTGAGAAGTTCCCCTGCAACCAAAGAGGTTTCCGTTTAAAATGCAGTTTGCTCAATAACACAGTCAAAATAGAAAAATACCCAGGTCACATAATCTCCAACTGAGTGTATCAATTTACGTTTGCTTGCGGAGGCAAGCACATAGTAAGAACCAAAAGAAAGAAACACACTGGATTCTATGAAATTATTCGGAGAAATATGTCTCTGAAAGGCAGGAAGTTCTTTATCAGTGCAATCACCCGGTATGTGATAGATATTTCTAAATCCTTCAAGATGATCAACAAATGAAGAGCTCCATGTTTATCGTGGTTTACGTCATGTATTTCCATCAAGCATTTTTAGCTTAAGCTTTGTACTCAGAAAGAGATTATAATGAACCTTTCTTTCCTGCGGTAACTGTATATAACTTTTCATATATGTGCTTGTATTTTTTGATTGCATAACCCTTTTTGTTAGTTAGTTATTAACTATTGGCCACAGCCTAAAAGTTTGTTTCTCAATATACTTATGCAATCTACTAGCTCCTTAACAACCCCTTCTTTGAAGCTCCTGTCCACTTGTTACCCTCTCTTTCCACAACTCCAGAGTTTTCATTTCATTAGATATAAATCGCAATTTTGAGGTTAATAATCCCTTTTTTCCTCGACTTGTTCTCTTATGGGTTTTGAATCCTCATTTGTTTTTATATACTTGAAGTATGCTATGTGGTTATTACAATCCTTTATTCGACATTATTTGTGGATGTGTATTCAGCCTGTTGATTATTTTTATACCTTTTCTATAGTTTATGCGCACAGTTTAAACACTATTCCGAAATTATTCTGTTTACTTAAAGGTTTCTAATCAGCTGGTATATCTTTTTTTAACCTGTTTTTCTTCAAAAAGCATCATACTGAGACTTCCATCATAACTTAACAGTCTATAAGAAAATCACTTTTCTCATCACCTCTTTGGTGAGTGTTGGGAAATAGATGTGTCATAATGATGGGTTCGGTGGATTGGATGACTAGCATTTTATTTATTCTAGTCACATGAGTATACACCTACTTTTTACAATGTAAAAAACTTGTAGAATATCTTTATGCTTATGGTGAAAATTTGTGAGGTGTCATTACAACACTATTCGCCTACTGTTCTATCAAAACAGCTCTAAAGACGACTGCACAAAGCAAACGTTCAGTAGGAGGATCCTATTAATATTTTCAGTTGATGGCTGGAGTCCATCAAATTAAAGCTATTTTAGTAGTGAAATAGGATTAGAAATGTCTGCGCAATCTAAAGGTTACGATTGACAGTACAACCTTAGCTTTGAGTATCAGCTGCCTAATTCAATTCTCATAAATGTTCCCTTTCTAGCTTCTGTTTAGTAGAACAAAGTTATAAGTACTTGCTTGCCACTTTGTAGGGATTTATCGTTTTGTAGGTAGTTTTTATCTGGGACTGATGTTTCGTCTTAGTTTGAGATTGCTCATCGGTCCAGGTCCATGTCCTTGCAAGGGATTTCTCCTGGAGCCATTCAGTTTCAAGGCAAATGTATTACCATACTTATCTCGTTCCTGTCGCTGTTTCCAGTTTGAGGTAGTGTTTTCAGATCATGGTGGTTTTCATATCTACAGCTTGTTTTTAAAAAAAACATGCTGTATTGCAGAAATCGAAACAAATACGTAACAACTGTGTTTTGAGTAATGCTAAACCTAAGCTGATGATTTTGGGGTTAAAAACCCATAGTGTACTGGTTCTACCTAACAGGTAACTGTATCACTAGGTTTTATCTTCTTATTCCACCATTTTCTGTCCTATTTTTTAATTGTAAGTGAAAACGAAGTAAAAGACTGAAATTCTTCAGTTGTTTCCTCAGTTGGCCAGTGACTAAACTTTTATTAGTGATTTATTCAAAGGGAAGTTTCCAGGAGCTTCAATGAGAATGCATCTTGTGGTCAATGTATCCAATTTTTATGACACGTACCGCCAACAGAAGAGGGTAATTATACTGAATCGAGTGAGGCTTGAAAATGTCAGATATCGAATTCAGTTTAGAGGTTTATAGGGATTTACTGATCTCAAGGTGGCATTCATTATAAACACTTTGAAATGTTGAACTTTTTTATCCTATAACCAAATGGTTACAGGTTTTTTATCAGAATTGAAAGTCATCGACAGGATCTCACAAAAGTGTCTAGGTATAAACTACTGAGCAAGCTCAAGATAAGTGGAAGTAGATAACCAAACGGTTCCGGTCTCACTGGTTCTCTAGTTGATTCCAGTTCATGTTAGATGCCACGTTGTGAATAAACCATTCGAAATTAAGGCTACAGAAAAATACCGGGTCACATGAACTACAGAGGATATTTGGATATAAGATAAAACAGACTACACGATTGTTAAATGATGACAAAAGCTTCAAACTATATTTTTACTGAAACTAATTGGGTAGAAATTGAGATAAAAAATGAATTATTACCATGAATCATTTAAAGTTGATTGAAAATCTCTCGTAAGTTTGATCTAAAAAGCGAGTTGTAAACAGCTGATGAGTACTGAAAAGTGTACACCGAATTCAGTTTTTCTGAAGGTTACTGAACCCAAGTGCTTCACGAACAAAGGAATCACCATCGCAAATGCGAATGAGGATCAGAATTACAAGTTCTGATGTACACGATCTGAATAGCTAAGCGGAAACTTTCATGACCAATGAAAATAAATACGAATGAGACGGCAACTTGATTAATTTCCACAGATTTCCACCAACGTGTATGCCTGAAGTATAAAGTCGAAAGCCATCAGGTGATTAGTCATCACAAAACTGGAAGTTGTGAAAAATGAGTAAATTTCATTAGCATTACTCATGAAAAGCTGGACCGGAAGACAGCTGGTAAACGCAATGATCCACATGGATAGGAAGTGTTGAAAGACAATTTCATGTTTGAAAGTTGATGGAAATATAGCTGTTTGTTTACTACATCTTAGTGGGACTTGATACTTTCTCCTAATTGGTGGGTTTAAGTTGTTAGAAAGCTCTGCCCGACCTAAATTTCGTGTCTGTTGGCACGCATTAGCAGGTATATCTGCATACTTGAGGAGACTGATGTTCCACGGGTGCTACGAGCCTACATCAAAATAACACTGAATTTTTCATACTACGGCTGGTTCCCTGTAGGACTAGCTTACATGCGTGAATTAGATGGTGAGGAGTTAAAGATGTTAGTCGTTAGTACTTAGCTGTATTGCAAGTTCACTTGTCGAGTTTCGATAGGTGACCAAGAAGTAAGACTGACTGGCAAGAAGATTTGAACAAAGGATTTAAAAATTAGTAAAATTCGTGTCGCTTATGAATTTTCTGTCCAGTCAATGGCTGTAGAAGTGGAAAGATACATCTCGTGAAATTCATGCTCTTTGTAACCAAAAAATCAAAATATCCTACCTGGTTTTACATTTATTTTTAGTTTAAATTAAATAATTTATTTTACAGAAAACTAAGCAAACGAAGATTGTTGGTTTTTATGACAGGTTCTGTTTAAAGTATGACTGATATGTAAAAGTTGAATCTCCAGATTGAAAAGTCTAAATTATCTGAGCGCCTAATATACTTTAAACCTCAGGTATTTTCTCAGTCAGAGAAATTTAATTAGTTGTAAAGAAATAAGTACTGAACAAGGATACAAGGTCTGATGTTATTTTGGTCTGGTTAGTCATCAGTAATGAACATAAGGTTTTATCATCGAAATGTTTGGATACTGTTTAGAGGATCTTATATTTTATTTGGATGAAAGCAAGATAAGGAATGTGAAACAGACATATTTTGTACAACTTATTTTTATGAATTTTTGCCTATGAATATATCATACACAAGGGAAAATTGCTCAAAATACTTCTCACGTAAGACTTTATAGTCATCTTCTTGTTTGTTAAGGCCAGGAAAGTTTGTTAGAAAATATTGCATATCAGTGCAATGTACATAAGTGAACAAAAGATCAACAGGACTGCAGATCACCAAGACTGCAAGCATCTATGCAATATGAAGCAGTTCTGATAATACTTCTGCCAGTGGAGAATGCGATATTGACTAAGAGGTTACTGCTTCTACAAGTCATTTAAGTAATATTAGGAATTATAGGAATATCGAAGCAAAATGGTGCAGCGAAACCATGTTTCAGTAGTTAATGTAGGGAAAAGCAATACTTAGCCCACATATGAAAAAATAAACGAAACACATGCAAGTCTTTTAATATAAGCGTGATACTCTTACAATAGGGATGAAAAGAAGATAAGGTTTTGAAGGTGATGTAAATCATAATATTTATTTGTTAATCTATGAGACAAATATATACTATGGAAAAAACCAAAAACAAACTATGGGATTGTTGGTTTGAATACCTGTGACTACAGGATGTGCCATGGAAACAATGTCAAGGTGTTGACCTTAGATATATGCTAAACTGCATAAATATCAGCCTGCCTGAAATAATTAATCTCAAAGTTCCACAAGTAATTATGGTTCGAGCCTCCTTCGATACTTCTCTGAAGCAGCTGAGACCAGTAAGAAAAACTGGAATTTTCAAATAAAAACACCAAGATTCAAACGAACAAGTCATCAGCATAGGTCCCTTGGTTCCTAGTGGAACACAGAGCTTCAGTAGCATACTTGATGCATGATCCAGTCCAGTTCACCACAACCAGAAAGATCATCAGTGATAATAGGCGGCAACCTTCTCTCACTCCTGTCTTCACTTCAAAAGCATCACTGAACAACTTTCCATTGTGAATCACTTGGCATGTAGCATCATGAAGCATAGAGCTGCTGAATGACGTTGATAAAGGTTTGTGACACTAAAACCATAGTGTTGAAGTAGCTGCAGCTGCCTGCCAAATTACCGCTCGGTCGACACTGTTGAAGGCCTTTGCAAAGTCGATGCAGTTGAGGTAAAGTAAAGAGTTGACTACCATTCTATACTCTGTTCTATGATGATGCGTAGCGTCACATTGCAATTAAATCCACACATCGTTTGTTCTTCCTGAAGCCAGCCAGTCAGCCAGCTAGCCAGCCACATTTGTTCCGGTCGTAATTTTGAATCCACAGCATGTTTTAGTCTCTCCAGGATGATGCGCCCTAATATTTTGCTTACGATGGATAGGTGCATGATTCCTCACCAGTTCTTGCAAACAATTAGGTCTCCCTTCCATGGAAGTTTGATAAGATAGCCCTTCTTCCAGTCAACGGACCGGGTTCCTTTCCTTCCTTTCTCACAAACCTTCTGCAGTAGTGGTGTGAGTATGTCCACTCTTGTCTCTGAGTCCGTTTTCATTGCTTCTGGGGGGTTCCATCTGGTCCTGCTGCGTTCCCGAATTTGGCAGTTTTATGTCACTCAGGACTTGACTTCTGCATTTGTCGGAGGGCTTGTGTTCACTGGTAGTTCTGTGGTTGCTAGCGACATTTCAGGACGAGTTTTAGGTGGTAGTGGTGATGATGGTGGTAGTGGATTCAAGAGTTTTTTGAAATGGTAAGCCCATCATTTCCTTTGTTTCTCCTCTTTCGTGTTGACGAGGTTTCCTTCACTATCTCTGACTGGTTACATCCGCATTGATCTCTTTCCTACCAGGTTGTATTATGGTTATTTGACATAGTCTTGTCATGTCTCTTCTAACTGCAGGCTGTTCTGCTTCACTTCTTTGTCCAGTGTAATGTTTTATGGGTTACATTTAGTTCCTGTCTATATTGTTCATCCCGCACTGCACTGACTTATCTTCTGCTTCACCATCCTTCTCTCCTCTATCGGCTTCCATGTGTTCATCGAGATCCATTCCTAATCTCCTTTCTTCTTCCCTCCTAATACGGATGTGCAGGTTTCTTTCCACATAGCTTTCAAAGAGTTCCAATGTTCTTCTAAGTCAGATCCTTTAGTAGTGTTTTCTAATGTCTCCCAT